CTTCCAACGGTTGAAAGAACGTTCGCGACGTTGCATCGACATCAGTACGTTCATCTTCAATTGTGCGCGAATAATTTCGTTTATAATGTTGTAAAGTCACTTTTCCTCCATTTTCAATCATATTTTTCGTTGGTGCAACAGTTGATATATTAACACGTACGATTCACTTTGAAATTTGTTGCTCATATTAGTTTTCGAAGAATCCACGAGGACTACGTTGTGGCTTTGATCGATAAGCGACACGTTATGCGTTGAACAAGAAGTCTTGACGATAATTTAGCGCAATTCGTTTTTTCACGACGTGCGAAAGCGGTCTCGTGCGAGCGCGATGCAACGCGATTGATCACGAGCATGCAAAATCGCCGTAATACATTTACATGTATAAATTCGATTTCCAATGTCGCAAACAAGCGGAAACAGGCGTATCCGCGCGACGGTTATCGCGTTTCGATTATCACGAATAAGGGGTCATTTTCATGCCCCTGTGGGTATCGGGATACAAACGCGGTGAATTTACGATTTCGATCCTCGAGATCGGCGATATTCAATCCCGGACTGTTACCTTGCGTAAGAATTTTATAAATGTCGACGTGGTATCGCGTTTGGCCGAAGTAAGAAGCCAGATTCGAGAAAATGCGATTCCCAGCACTGCCGTCTAATCTTCATCGGAACCAAAAAAAAAGGAAATAATGACTGCTTCTTAGCAGAAAAGGTGACAAAAAGTGACCTCTCAGACATCAAAATAGTGACCAAAAATGACACTTTTTTGTCAAATTCAGAGAACTAAGGCTATTTACGAACAAAACAAACTCTCTCATCTTCTCAGGTTCATCATTGGATAACTTAACATGTAGCGAGTTTTTTTCATAGTAAGGTTTGAAAGTTCATGACAAGGAAGACCAAGTACATAAACGATGCAAATATTTTGCATCGGTTGCTTTTGAAGCAGTTTTATTAAGAGAGACGGCAAAAATATATGTAGAACGTTTATATTTTGCAAATTTAACGGCGACTCAGGAAAAAAATGACCATAATGACCCACCCATTTTGGACGATAATGAATTTTTTTAGTAACTCGCGTTAGTAACTCACAAAAAGTGAATTAAGAAAAGTGATAAAAGGTGATTTAAGTGGCTGGATGGCAACGTTGGGTTTTCTCAAAACCCAAAGCAAGAAAAAATTATGAAACTGATAAAAGATTTATCATGACATGGTGTTGTATGTCTTGTATGTTGTATATTTGGTATACGAGAGAATTCAGAGAAAAACAAAGTAACAACCTAATTTCATAAGGAATATAATTCCTTGTATATCATTTTCATTCAACAAGTAAACAAACAAACAAATAAATAAAAAAATAGATATTCGATCGTAACACGGATAAATTTCTTTAAGATCTTCAAGTGATCTCAAAGAATTCTCTAATAAGGTGTATCTCTTGTCGATATCGTTATACGATGCAGGGGTTCAGAATGTATTTTACAGAAAATCTGCTAAAATCTCGTACCGTGAATCGCCAAGGAGCGTGAACTCGGGATGAACGAAGATGCCTGTATCATCTCATTTGTTGTAGAGCGACATCGGTGAAGGCCGTCTGTGTTCTTATTTCGTTATCGACGATAATCTCACGATGAATTCATCGATGTTTGCATTATGCGCATTACGCAACTCGGACGGAAAAGTGGACGTCGACACGTGACGCGGGTGCGATTTGTTGATTTCATAAATGTCGAGTTCATGATAACGCGCATACAGGAAACTCACCCGCCCATTCACATTTGCCGCACAAACTATGAGCCAGTTACAAATTTCGCATTGCGATAATAATATCGCGATATCGAATATACAGTTTACTATTTATTTTTCTCTCGTCCATGTGCGACATATCAATAAAATTCACTTACCGCGCACAACGTCAGTATCTACGTAAATTTTCTATGAGAAGAAAAAAAAACATATTTAAGAAGAAATTTAGAAAATTAAAGAGAAATTCAACAATTTAAAAAGTTGTAAAATTTAAAGAACGTAGCAATTTCTCTTCTATGTCTTTACGACACTTAACAAATAACTAATTTCGACTGGAAATTAATTTGCTTTATGATTTAATGATCTCAATAAATTACTACATATAATTTATTCTCTTTTTGTGGTATATTTCGGTTTATAATTTTCACATAACTACTCCGCTTCAACGTTATACATAAATGCGGCGTTTCAACGTAGCCCCCATGGTAGGTTCGTAGCGGTAGATTTCCCGAGCGATAGCTCAACGATCAAAAGAGAGAAAATCACGTGCTTACCGAATTAATTTTCCACGGCACGACATGCGCGGTGAAGATACCGCTTGAAGACCGCTGGGTAGCACCGCAAGCCGACGTCACGTGTATTTCACGCTGGTAACGAGAAAAATAACGCGCAGGATAGCCGCGATCTGCGCGAATCACTTTCCAAACTTCACTGCGAACCATTCTGCTTTTTCAACATTATCTTCGAGGACGAGTCCAACAGATACGCTCCGAATGACAGTCATTACTGTGCGGACCGATCATTAATCGCCCCATTTATCCTTTTTTCCGCGATGCAACGCCCAACCAAACGAGTCTTGATTACATCTCGTTATTATTCAAATCCGCAGGCACGCGCGTGAGAGAGTTCAAACTATAGCATTGCGAAGCCGTTTCGCTCGCGACTGCGAACGACGCTATTTTCTCTCCCTGGAAAAGATCTCTCGTTATTATTTTGTTGTCAGGTTTTTAACCCCTTCACTGCTACACTATTTTCCTCAACTGGTTCTAAAATTCCAAAAGCCAAAAAAGTTCTCGAAAATTACTGATAATTTATATATGGAGGTTTTTGATGATGCTGATGACGAATTTCGAGTCGAATTAAAAAAAAATTTTTTTACGAATCCAAAACGGTGGCTAATATATAAGATAGCGAATTTTAATTATAATTTGATGTTAGTTTGCAATAAATGTAGACATTTTTTTAAATTATCTAAATATTATATTTCATTCATTGTAAAACTTTAATACAAGATATCTATCTCATGACGAGAATACTCGAAAATTCAACAAATTCTCATTTTTCTGGTAGCCGTATCTTTTTTCTGTAGTAACATTTGAAAAATACGACTTCAAGATCATGTTCAGCAAATTTAAAAACCTAAATGTATTTTGTTTAAGTCATCAATTTATTGTAAAATATTAAAAAACTTTAATATAATAAAATAAACTCATGAGAAGAATATTCGAAAATCCGATAAATTCTCATTTTTCTATATATTTCTTCTGAGGCAACATTTCTCGCAAATCGGATTCAAAAATTGTGTTCAGCATACTCAAAAACCTTTCGTTATATTTCAGTGATAAAATCAGTTAGGGGCTTTAATAATCTAACGAAATATTTCATGAGAAAATATATTTTCGCAGCAGTGAACGCAAAATTCAAAATGACGAGAATTCCCATCAATTGGCAGTCAAGGGATTAAAATTACTCAAAATTATCTCTCATTTGGCCACACATTAATTAATAAGACTTTTCGTCAGTCTTTTTTACGACGGATAATATCAGCTGATTTCATCAATAGTTCAGTTGCGTAATATTGGCCGATTTCTATTTGGAATTTCGTCTGTAGGAAGAGATGAGAGATAACAGAATCGGTCAAGCGTGGGTTAACTTGAACCGAGCCGAGTTTACGGGGACTGGAGCGCGTAAAAGGAGTGACGTTGGTGGCGCGGGGAAAACGGAAATTGTCCGGCCAGAAGCCGTGTTTCGCCGCGGCTTTGGCGAGGCCGCGCTTAATTGCAGTGTTGTCGTTTGGTTTTATGGCCTCTCTTTCATTAATTCAATTGTCTTTTATCAGCGGGAATGCTGCCAGCCACGCAGCTAGCATTTGTCCGGTTGCCGAGCTCGAGCGAAACACACTATGACGCCTTTTTACGCGGATATCGACGAGCGGCACTTCCTCTTCGGATAATTTCAATAGATAAATCTAGTCTAACGTCGAGATCCACTTCGACGTTAGTTTCAGCTACGGCCCCTTGGTCTTATCCGTATTTCAACTGATACAAGTGTATGGTTCAGATTAAGAAAAGAAAAGAGAGGAAATCTAGCCACCGGAGGACACAACGAACGCGCGCCCGCATCCAGTGTTTGTCTCATATAAAATGTTATCTTAGTTAATCAGGCGAGTAAATCAACGATTATCGACTGCAACGTGCCTCTTAAGATAGCGCCGTTCTCTGTGTCAACCTTAAATAGACTTCGTATAACAACGTTCAAAAGAGCTACTGCTTCAAAAATCACGCGACGTTTAGAGATTTTCATTCAGTTCCGACCTTTTTTTCGTCTCGCATTATTGTTTTACCGTGTCATGTCTAAAGATAACATTTAAATAATTACACGCGAAAATAATTTCATATTGTGGAGATTTGTAATATTAATATTAATATAAAGGCTTAAACATACGAGCAAAAACGAACGAATCGATAATCCGTAAGATCGACATGTTCTTGCTCAAATGCAACATTGTACTCCAAGATCACTCAAGAACGGTGCTTGTCACTAATATTGTCAATTACAAATATTCGAGTAACCGAAATCCGGTTATTTTTTCTTATTATTGATTCTACTCATTTAACCTTCAAGCTATTCTACGCATAAAAATATTTAAGGTAAGTTAAACAAAAAAGTAGATACGTTATAAGACATTTCGTTTTTATATTAGAATATATTAAAATAAAATGAGATGTTTGGTAAACCATGAATCTTTTCGTTGAACTCATCAAAATATTAAATACACAGATTGATGAGGAAAGTATATGTACGCCCAAAAAAAAAAAAAAAAAAAAAAAAAATTTTNTTCCGTTCTGGGTAATACCCGCGAATTTGGGTAGCCGGATGTATAAATACCCGGCTTTTATACGGACAATACTACTTGTTATGCACCTACGCGAGAAACAGAATACTGGATTTGCCGGAGAAAAGGAGGAACTCACCTGTAGGCAAGGGACATACACTGGAAGAGCTTGTTCAAGGACGTCTCGATGCTCAACTGCTGCGAGCTCTTGTTGTTCGACGAGTTGGCGATGAACCGCTCGACGGAGAAGCCGGGCTGGGCGATGATCGACAGCCTGACTTCCTCGTCGGGCACCGGCACCGCCAACTCGTCCTCGTCGTCCTGAGCCTCAGCCTCGAAGTCTGACACCATGAAGTGGCCAGAGTGTATGGTCTCCCGAGAGTCTCGGCCGCTGCTCTCTCGATTACCACTTCCGGCACGATGAAAACCGCCCTGACTCGACGAGCTCGTCATCGCCGTAGGTTTCCGGTATATCAATTCGGCCTGCATTCCGCGACCCTGTTCCACAAGGACACGATTGGTCTTTTCAATATGTGAATTATTTTTCAATAAACTTAGAGGAGTGATTAAAGAATTAGAGCGCGAGAACTCTCGACTACGAGCGAGTCGAGTATATTTTAATTAAATAAATGTCCATCGATTGTGTTTTTGATTGCTACGGAGGTTAGATTGAAACTATTATTCGATTATTGGACTTGTATATTGAATTTTGGTACAACTATTGTTCCATCGTTTTGTTTTACGCGGATAATTTGAAAATTTACGTAGCTCACTGATTTTTAAAACAGTTATTAGCCTAGGAAGATTCAAAAACTCCATTGCAGATAATTCGATTACACGTTTGATCTACATTTTTCCGATCAAAATAGGCCCGTCTAAATAGTATGCAACGGGATTAGACGACCTCATTTCAAGTACTCGCGCGAGTCTACGCGCGCTTGCGATAGAGAAGGAAAACCCGACAGACACAACAAGTCGCAGTTATCAAGCTTCTGATAAGTTTGGCCTGATGCATCTTTTTTTTCAAAGTATATTATATTCGAGTTCTGCAAGAGACTGGGAAGAGAAACAAAAAGGAAGAGATAGAGAGAAAAAAAGCATGTGCATAAATGATAAAACTTGTAAAAATTTAACATGACTTGGAGAAGTGTTATATCGATTGATATCATGAAATGAATATCAATTATACTATGAAATGAATGAGTTTACTAGTTTGCAAAGCTAAAATATACATAACACGCGAACATTATGCCTCAGCGAAGGTTAAGTTCACGTAAAAATAAAAGCGCATGGTTCTGAATCTTAATAATCATCGGTTAGTAAATCGATAATTGAAAAGTACAACCACGAATTTCTGTCAATAATAATAATGTAGAGGTAGTAAATAAACGAATGAAAGAAATTAAGTATTTGATGCATTAACAGGGTGTCTATTTAACCCTTATCGGTCGTAAGTCACCTCTCACGTGACAACAATACTTCGTCGTTGCGGTCGTACGTCGCGTAGGAGGTGACAAGTTCGCATATTTACCGAAACCAGCTACAACCTAGTGAGAATCACGCATAAAAAGCTAGCGTCCGATAAGGGTTAAACCCTCCAAAAAATTCCTTGAGAATTTCCTGACTTTTCGCAATTTATTAAAAATTTGAGTAAAATGAGAGTATTTTTAAATATATCTTGCAAATTTATGTATATTTGTTGTGCACTGAGTTTTTAATATTTTTTTATTCATAAAAGTTTATAAACCATAAAATAAAATTAAAAATCATTCAAATTTCAGTGATTAAATTTGAAACATTTTGAAAGAAACTGTAAGAAACTCTAAAAGATAAATATTTTATATTACATAAAATTTTCAAATTTTACTTTCAAAAATTATTGACAAAAAGTTATATAACGCATAACTGATACAAAATTCAATTTTTATAAAATTATTAAAATAAACATCTATCTTATCAACCCTTTGCACTCGAGGGCTCCGAAGCGGAGCCATTTAAAATTTGTCTTCAAACTCTTCAAACTCAAATGCAAATAGCAAGAGCGGAATATCCTATACACAATAGTTTTTACGATTTGTCTTTGTCCTTATGTTATGAACTGAAAGTTATTTGCATTGTCTCCATAGCGGAGCCCTCGAGTTTGAAGACAAATTTTAAAAGGCTCCGCTCCGGAGCCCTCGAATGCAAAGGATTAAACAAAATTACACTTCACACAAAATCATTCTTTTCAATATTGAATATTGGATTAGTCGTAAAATCAGTGTGCTTTAAATATTAAAGCAATATAATTCAACATTTTAATTATATACGTAAATATGGAATATAAAAGAGAATCTATTATAAATATAAAAAAAGTGCTAATATTTAAATGTTAAGCAGAAACTTAAAACCAACCTTGAATATATATGCACATAATGTTAGTAAATTCGCGCCTACAATTTACATAAGACTACTCCTTATTAACCATTAGCGAACGAATGCCGACATATTCGCGAATATGGCGGCATTCATTCGCTAAGGGTTAATTAAAATTAATTAATTAAAATTAAAATTCAGACGCGATATTGTTGAAAGATTATTTTTGGAAGTGGCGCATAAGAACTGAATAGAAATTCATCGTTAACATCTTCGGAAGAATGCGCGTTGAGTAATTTATAATGGTCTCATCGTTTTTATATCGCGCTGTATAAGTACTCGGAGTCGTGATGGCGCCAGGCTTCCTGTTCATTCGTAATTAGCAAGTTAATGTCGCGATAGCGCGCGCGGCTAACGATCAGTCGCGGTTAAATGACCTTATCGCCGAAAACGTATGAAGTGGTGCACGCTCTCACCGTTGTGTCTTTTTCCCCGAACGGGGATAAGCTCTATGAAATTTTCAATGGTCAGTGACTCCTCGCGCTTAGTATACAGCGGCTAAAATTAAACGCAGCTGGGACAATTCACCGCGAACGTGTCCCATGCATTCTCCGACACGCGATCAGACGTTGATCTGCTCAATCATGCGTAACGAATTTCTCTACTACGTGTCAGTTATCTGCGACCCATACGTTTTTCTTATTCGCACTAAAATTCTTTCACTTCGACGCGGATTTGCGCTAAGTAACCACAGTACAAACACCGATCGATATTCCTGGAGATAATGTTATTATTGTTACTATAAAAATTGCTCCCTCAAAGATGCAAATAAACGTGATGAGATTTTTGCGAGTAAACTGAAGTATGGACGTAAAGCGCCTTATTAAATCTTACGCACTGAAAAATCAGTTTGGTTGAATCTACCTTTCGTCCTATTCGACAATAGACTACGAAACACATTTTGGTTAAAAGAAACAGAATTTCTGGTTATAAACAAGCAAATTTGTTTCATGATAATTGGAAATTTTGTTTCCTTCAAAACGTGTTTGGTTATCCATTGTGTCAGATCAAACTAAATTCATTTTTCCGTGTACTATAAATAAACTGATAAGTAAACTTATATAACGAATAAATATGAACTTATATAACGAATAAATGAATAAATTGATTGTAAAACAACTACGAAAAATTCGGGATTTAACATCTGATGTTTAATTATTCTTTTTTCTTTCTGATGGAATATTTTTCGCAACCTTACCGTATAAATGGAATACAAAATAGTATACTAACTACTTAAAGCAAATAGATAAAGATTTTTCAGGTTATTATAATTTATAATAATATTACCGGGACTAAAAGATTGATTTAAGCGTAGAATTAGGTTAATTCCTCGCATTTGCCGAAGAATATTTAGCACATACGTCATTATACGTTAAACATTTTTATCCTCTTGCAATAATATTAGTATTAACAATATTGTTGCGTTCGGGATTCTACTCGAATCCCCGATTCTTGAGAGTGTTATTGATGACGAAGGAAAAAAACAAATAGGGCAATCAAGAGGGATTTGTATCGGTTGTCTTGACGTGCGATCGCGTTTCTCAATATAGCACAGATATTCATTTTATTATTCAATTATAATGTTGTGTCTTGAAAATTAAAGTTCAATGTTTATTTTTTAAAAAGCGTGTTTGTTTATTTGCCCCGCGAGCGTTAAAGTGTCAGTGAGAAAGTGCGGATCAGAGCTCGATTACTTCGTCTGGATGTAATAATATTAATATTCAAATGGCACCATAACATCCATGCTTTAGCCCCCTATGGTTCCGTATATATTCTTTCTTTCTTTAATAATTCTTACTTATTTTTGCCCTGTTAGCGGAAGCCGCGAAAATTCTCCTCGAGGAGCGAAAATTTAAAATTTCGTTCGCAGAAGCCTCGATTCTCACGTTTTAATTCTACTTAATCGATCTCCGGTGTTGGTACGGACCGTGTCAAGAAGTGTTGATCTTATTGGATCTAGTTTTGTCACTGTCTTTTGTATTAGCACGTACTTAACATTCATATTGACACAACTGACAGTTGTTAGCGAGACTATCAACTTAGGAATCTTTCTTGTCTAGCCGTGTTCGACCGCCCCGCGTTGGAGTCAGCCGCGTTGAAAAATAGAAGAAGAATAGCAATCAAAAGAAACCGTACAACCTCGTCGGTGCTTCGCTCCACGTGCCAACGAAATTCCGAACACGGAGGCAATTCGACCCGTTGACCCGTTTACCGGGGGAACGCAAGCTCGCCGCCTCGGGTGGGCCCGAAGATTGCGACACATTCGTGCGTTTCGGCGCTTTTTCCCGTTATAACCGGTTCCGAATCAAACCCACGGATTTTTCTTCCTCGTTATCAGTCGACCGTTAAACATCCCAGACGCCTATTACGGCGCTACGACGAGCATTTATCTGTCGCAACGCGGCCTATCTCTCCGTCTCTCTTCGTTCTCGAGCGCGCGATCGGATGATTCGAGTGTCGATTGCTGTAAGCTCACGCTTACGTACTACCATCAATCTCTAAGGTCACGTGCTTTTTTTTTAGAATTCTTACGCAAGTACTCGCTGCCACTCGCGTCGCTTTTCCAGCGGACGAATTCCTGTCACCGTCACGTTGCATCACACAGGCGCCAGAAAAGTGCGTTTTGCGCCTCGGTTCAGCGACATGATCAAGGTTAATTTATGCATACATAGCACGTGTAGCTCTCTGTGTGTACGCGTCCTCACCTTCCAAGATCCATCACTGAGAGCGATATCCTCGTTAGCCGCGAATCGTTTACTTCGCTCGCCAGAAACGCGACCGTAATGTCTTCTCTCGTAAAGATTCATCGTTCCGACTACAAACAAGCGCCTCTCTCGTAACGAGTTTATTACGGCGCAACGTGAAAATGAAATTGCGGGTCGTTCCACGGTTTGCACAAGATGTATATTTCATTAGAGATCGCTTGGATTACCTTACGAAAGGAGTAACCGCTACTTTACCAACTCTCTTTTGTCTTCCTGTAATATACACCGACCGGTACTTCTCCGCTATCTGTAAAGCGCGCTAACGCTCTTTGACCCTCTCTCGAGCTGGCCATATCGCGTCGGTGAAGTCAAATGTTTTATCCGTTCGTTCATTAACGATTGTCGTTCACGTGCCGCTTGGAGGTTTCGGATTTTCCGCGATAAGAATGACGAGTATTCATTCGTTCGTTTCGAACGGAGCGAGAACGTTCAGCCTGCAAGGCCGAATCACATATTTCACACAATCTCTCTTTTAATGTAAATTCTATATCTCATCTCTTTCTTTTTTCTACCGACGTACTTGCAATCATGTATCGAAGAGAATCTCCTCCCGTAAATAAAGAGATAATAATAACATATTTATATCGGAGTTTTTGCCTCCGCTTTTTGTCGATGCATTGAAAAGGCTATGTGTGATATCGAAGCTATGTGTAATATCAGCAACGTTTGTTGTTTATCGTTTACGTTAGAATTTAACGTAAGGGGCTTGAGAGAGAAAAGCGAACACGACCGCTCGTTCAGATTGTTTTGTCAGTGTTTACATTCCTTCGCACTTTCTTGCTTTTTCCCGAGCACGAAAACGATATCTTACGGAATATCTATAATCGATCAAACTAATTCGTTTTTATTTCTAGTTTCGATGAAATTTAACGTTGTGAATCCACCGGACTGTCGGATGTTGACCGAGTGATCCTCATCGATTATCAATCGACGGACGGTTTCGGGCGTTTTCCCCGTCCGATTCGTCGGAAAAGCCGACGTTGCTATTTCTGACTCGGGCCAAACAGCGGAAAATCTCGCCGTGCGCATTTACGCGGCGCGGAAAATTAGACGCGATCTTATGTTCACGAGCCGTCTCTTTGCGGATTTAGAAACTGTTCGGTTTCGCGGCGCTTCGCGGGCAAGCGTATCGTCGATTGTACTTTCCTTTTCCATCGCGTTATCGCAAATGACGCCGGAAAGAGGAACCCGTTAACCCCACCGAATGCCTGCAGCTTTTCGATACATTAATCTGCGATTACGACATTGCGCGGGTGCGTTGGAACGAGTCGCGCGACAAAACAACACACGTTTTCGCGTTTAAAATTCGCTTTCGTGCAAACCAAGTTTTCCCTCCGAGTGATAGAAGTATCCTTTATCTTTGTCGGTTATATGTACAGTACACTATATAATTATAAATAAAACAAAACGTTTACATTATAATGGAAAATAGAGGTTAGATTAGGCTGGGTCAAGTCAGGTTAGGTCGGTAGAATAAAGTTCAGGAACGTTAAGCAGCAATCGGCGATTTCTAAATGGAATAAGTGGGAATGTTAGGTTATGACGCGAGACAGTGACAACAATAAATATACAGACCTAATCTTGGCGCTATCCTCGAGACTGTGCGCGCGACGAGGGTTTCGTTCGTTCAAACTGCACTTGCCGCGATTACGACGGGAGCGGACAGCATAGAATAGGAAGAAAGAAAATACAGAACGTGCGACTAAACGAACGTTTAGTACACACGAGCTCCCTCTCGCTCGCATTCCCTCATGTTATCGTTTTCCTCTCTGTCTACGCTACTTCCCTCCTATCTCTTCTCCCCCATTTTAGGAGCGAACGGTTTATCAACTTGCTCGAAATTGGAATCAAACGCGTCGACTTTTCTTATCGCGATGCGACGCGGCTCCGATTTTTATCTCGCCTTCCATGGAAATCACTCGCGCGTTTGTCTAACGTCCTCTACCTCTCTAACCCTCTCTTTCTTTTTCGCACGCATACACACACTCCTTCTGCCTCCCTCCTACCCGCCCGTGCCGCTCTCTCTCTCTCTCTCGCTCTCGCGAAACAAATAAACGTAGCGAAATCCCGCGCTCACGACGACTCCGCAGTTCCAGATTCACGCATTCGCGACTATTTACTCCCGCACGATCGAGAAAACACGGCCGATCAACGACATCGCGCACCAGATGTTGCGACGATCGACGCGCTACGGTCGCGCTCGCTCCAAGAATGTGAACGCGTGCGCGCGACTGCGCGTTTCGCGATAACACGCACAAAGACGAGAAGCTTTGTCGCTGTTTGTCACTCACCTTCTGAACTTGTCCTCACACTCTCCTTGTCACCACCCTCTGTTGCCTCTGTCGTTGACTGTGGCGATGATGACGATTGTGACCACACGGCGACGATGGCGACGTCGGCGAAGGCTCGTAGATTATGCCACTCTTCGTCCGATTACGGAACCGTCACTGTGTTCACTCTCGTCGTCAAGCTGAGCCGCGAGACGCCCAGGACGAGGCTGGTACGCGTTATTGCACGGCACACTCTCGTTCATTATGATACGATGACGCCATTTGCGCGTACCCGCGTTTTCCACGACGGACGAATGGCGACTGGTGACTACGCGCGCCCCACGCACAGCTGACTGAATGCGGCGCCGAGCGGCAGGAATCGCGCCAGCCAATGGTAACGCGCGTAGAGCCCCCCACTCTGTGACAGTCGCTCGAACCGCGAATTTGCCGCTCTCGGCGCGGTTTTCAAAGGCGCTCGCTTTTGCAAGCAATGAAATGTCTCGTATAACCGTTCGGATGTCATTGGAAACTGACGGCTTTATGGGAGGTTTCGTGACTATCGTTGGTAGAGATATAATGAAGCATTATTAATTAATTAATGAGAAAATACGCCTGCTTTCTTAGAAAATATCGGGAACCCTTAGGAATCTTTAAATATCGCAATAATTTTAACAGAAATAACAGGCCAAAAACCAGCCCGGTCCTTGGCAATCCATCCTTCCGGTTGCACCATAAACCTGAATTCTCCCCTTGCTCTTCTCAAACCCGTCTACCCTCCTGTAAACTGATTGTCCTCCGTCTGCATAAAGGAAATCCCTACGAAAGACGACACTTTTAGGTCGCATCTCTTTTTAAAGAAGCGAACTGGAAACATTCATTCACGAAACGTTGAAAACAATTTCACAAATAACGCGGCACCATGCCGAAAGCCAGGTTAAGCATAAAGAAGAATTAGTTGATGGTTTTGCTTTAACAGTACTTCATAGAATTTAAATTAATGTTGATGGTCCATAATAGCATTTTGTGGTTTCCTTTATTTTTTATCATTTGAGTAAATGAAAAAAATTAGTAAATGAAAAATTGATGGGATGACTAATATTGTAAATTATTATAAATTAAAATCTTGCAGGAATTTTTCTCTATCGCACACTTAAATATTGATTGACTTTTTTTACAATCATATAATAGTATCAACTTACAAACTACTTAAAAAATATATTTCATAATACTTCATTTCATAATACTTAATGAAAAATCTCTAATAATATCCGTATTTGAATTTTTAGCATATTTAACATTCAGCATTAAATATTGCTGAATATTAAATATGCAAAGTCAATTAATATAATAATTAATAGATGTCAATATTTCTAGCAAACATTTTCATAATCTTAAATATATAGTACTATTTTATTTTACTGACGCACACACACACACACACACACAATTTTTTATAATTAAAAATTGGTATCCCAGTCGGAAAAATCATTCAATACTGGATCACGGTCTGGAGGATATCTGTCGAAATTTTTTATATCCAGATGATTTTTTATCTGAAAAGATCAAATATATAATTTAGTTTTCCGTGTCGAAACATACGGAGCATTGCATCATATACAGATTAGAATGATGGATTTTCCACTCGTTTTGCTGACAAACACTCGTGCTCGAACACGGATGATAGCATGTGTCATATTCGTTTGCAAAATAGTTTGCACTTATTTTTTCCAATAAAAAATATGAAATAGTGTGTTCAAATCATTTGTAAACATGTATACCACCAAGTCTTAGTCTGCTGAGTCCATCTTGGAACGCATGCTTGCCAGCAAAGCAAATAAGTAATCCGTCGTGTTGACCTGTATGTCAATACAACAACCTATACAGTTTTAGTGATTATAAGTAAAATAATGTTAATTCTATAAATAGATATATAGATAAACATATACTTCACTTGTTGGAGCAACCAAAATTCACAGGGTGCTTTCAACATCTTTGAATTTATCTCGAAGTTCTTTATATTATTATAATAAACATTGTGTTTCTTTTTAAGAATGTTAAAATGTGCTTGACATTTTCTTAAAAAATGATTTAATTCTATTAAAAGATTAAAAGATCCTTAAACATTTTTATGAAATTTATGTTGTCTATTAAAAGCCATTACTTTTTTATCAAATTGTTCGAAATGATTAAAAAATCGTGGCGACTGTTGGTGAACATTCTATACAGTTTGACATATGAATTATAGATAAAATAACTTTATTCACCGATGGTATTATAGCAGCAGGCATTGTCTGATTTTGCAATGCTGTCCAGTCAAAATTGCTGAACCACCTGAAAAAGAAATTATTAGTTATTAATTGAATGATATTTGTTTATAAGATAAATTGCAACTACACTCAGAAAAACTGCTCTCAATAATATTAGTTTCATCAAAGCGATAAAATGATTGTAACAAAAATCGAAATTTTATATAATCGTACAGATTTAATATTTTCAATACATTTTATATGTTCATTCTGTAAAAACGATGCTCACTTGTGATTTCGCACATCCGTGACGCCGTTTCGCAAATAACCGAGTCTCTTTGTAGGGTCGAACTGTAAAAGACGTTGGATAAAATTCTTCGCGGCGTTTTTCACTACACTCGGTAAACGAACATCGTCGAAGCCCTTCAGAATCTTCTCACATATTTCTAAGTCGTTCGTGTCTTGGAACGGCGTTCGGCCGAGAAGTAATTCATGTACCAGGACTCCTAAAGCCCAATAATCCACGGCCCTTTCGAAGTAAAAATAAAAAGACATTAATTGTGATATATAAATCGATTTTGTTTCATTGATATTATTGAGCTACCTGGTAAAAATGAATTTTAAAGATTCACCTGTTATATCCTTTAACTTGAATAATTTCTGGCGCTAGATATTCGGGAGTTCCTACGAAAGTCTTCGTCTTGTAAGCAGCTATTATCTTGCTAGAGCCAAGATCAGTCTGCCACACAAAAATCATGTCGTTAATAATGTCGTAATTGCAAACATTTACACGATATATTATTAGTGCATATAATTATTACAAAAGGCATATTTTCATTTTTACCGCGTTATTTAGATTGCACATCGTTGTTTAATATACAAATTAATATTTAATTGCGTGATCGATCGACATGCTCCAAATAACTAATTGTGTTTTATTTACAAAAGCTCTCAAATGACAGTTCCTTGAACGTACCAGTTTAATGTAGCCATCATTAGAAATCAGGATATTCTCGGGTTTCAAATCCCTGTAAATGATACCAAGTGTGTGAAGGTGATCGAGCGCTTCCACGACGCAAGCAACGATAAACTGGGCAGTAGAATTGTCGAATCGACCTTTTCTGTACAATGCTGTTCGTAAATCACCACCCAGGCATGCTTCCATCAAGAAGTAGAGATATCTGTTGTCCTTAAACGTCCTGTATAATCTATGAATAGAAATAAAAGATAAATTTTTCTTTCTTTTAAATATGAAAAAATCAAGATAGTAATTTCTTGGATAAGATATTATCCGAATATCAGGGTAAGATATTAAAAAAAAAGTTATATTATTAGTAATACAATATTAGCAAACAAATATCATAAATTACTATGTAGTATCAAAATATTGCCAACATTAGATAAAATAAATTTTAATATTTTTAAGATTTACCCTTAAAATTAATATATCGATGAATTAATATTGCAAACTAACATGCAATATTAATTTTTCCAAATGATTTTATTAAAGAATTGGAGGAAAAGATAGAAAAGTGAATATGTACTAAACAGATTCTGCTTACTTGCAGATAAAAGGCGAATTACACAGTCTCAGGTTTTGCTTCTCGTTGTAGATCAGCTTCTGATATCCTCTTATTGTGATCATGTTCTTTCGTATTTTTTTCCTGGCGTAGCTGATGTTCGGTATTGAATTGACGGTCACCAATTCGACTCTGCCGTAACCACCGGCGCCTATAGTTCCAATGATCTCTAGATCCGTCAGCGATAGATCACGAAACGCAAGATCCCAGACATCGGCGATTGTTGGTCGCCGGTAGATAAGCCAGTTTTTGTTGCGAATTGATTCCAATCCGCCGAGGTAGTCCAGGAAGGATCTGCGTTAATTGAACAGAAATGCATTTGCATTTTTTCAGAAATATTTTTTAGCTAACCTCTTTTTTGACGAACAATTGATTGGAAATTAAATTGATTAAATTAATTTGCTTTCCGAAAACGAATTAAAAATCGTTAAAATCATTAAAATTAATTCATCTTAATGATTTTAATAATTTCAACAAAACATTAAAATCATAGAATGATTAAATTTATTGACTATTTAGTTCATCGAATTCATTAAAATAGGTCGTGGGTGAAAAATCGATATGACACCCGGAAATAAAATGTAAACATTGATTTAAATACTGTGTGACGTACTGTCTGTCGATAGTGTAGCATTCAGTGCCAGGTGGTAGAGCGATAGCATTTGCTTGCCGTTTAGTATCGCCATTGTCGTATAATGCTTTCTCGCCGAAATAATCTCCCCTATCGAGCACAGTCATTTCCTCCTCTATACCGTACGAGTTGGTCTTCGTGATCCTGACGTTGCCCCCGTTTATTATAAAGAACTTATCCCCCGGGTCTCCTTCGCGTATGATGTATGAATGAGAGGAATAAAATTCCTGACGTAATAACATTTATCGAATTTTTTACTCGAAAAGAGAATAATGTTGTATAATGTGTCGTAACGTCTTTAGAGAAATCTTAGAAAAATTGTAATTAAAAAGAAGAACGAAATTCACACGAATTATATAGCTTACGTACCACAACTATTAAATCAGACATTTTCGCGAGAACTTCCTCGGGAAGCGTTCGTAGCACGGAGATGCGACGAAGAACTTGTATATTGTACTGCGTAAATTCTTCGTCGGTCCGCTGCATTATAGCAAGGAAGACTTTCCGGTCTAAGACCCATACCTTGCCATCTGTTTGCACTGCAAATATTGCCCGTGTTAAAAGTGATTCGTGAGAAATGTAATAAGTAATATGTTAATAAGTAATATGCTAATAATTATCAAGTCCCATCTTTTCTTCGAAAAAAATAGAAAAATGTTGAGTACTTAACGAAAATGATGATTTCTTAATGAAATTATTTTTCGTGAAATAATTAATGTTATCACTTAATTGTGCCAGTACCATCGATGGAGCTCAGTCTTTTCGTGTTGTATAACAATGCCAGCTCTCCGAAAGCAACTCCGGGGCCAAAGTTTCCGTAGAATGTGTTGTCTACATATATCTCAAAATTTCCCTTTTCTGAGACGTACAAGTGAGATCCTGAAAATATCGTAGAAAAACAGTTTACTTACATCATTATGATTAAATATCAGATTCGTTGCATAAATAAATATTTGTTTCAAGTATCGATATCATCTGACGCAATTATAATTGACGCGTGAGTTTTACGATCATAACACTTTTTACATTCTTTTACTCACCCGTTTCACCCTGGTGGATGAGACGCGTTTGCCCTTTGACAGATTTCGGATACATGGCCAACACGATCTCTTCGATGCGAGATTCATCGAGATCCCCCAGAAATTTGTTGTCTCGAATAGCGGCTTTGATTCGATCTTGCGTTCTGCGAAGCATGTAGCAGAAGGTATGAGTTTTGCTTGTAGACTTTAGTATTGGGGCAATTCAATCCGCCTCTTGTAAAACTTGAGAAAATTAAAATTAATCGAATTTTCCGAATCATGTAAAATTTTAAATATTTGAGAATGTTCGTTTAAATTTATCAATATCTTTTGTATTTTAATTAAATTTTGTCCCATATTTTCAAAGAGCAAAAATTTTTGGAATTTAGGTGACTCAGTCTAACTTGATGAAAAATGTTTAAATTGCGGAGTTAACTTTCTCAAATTGCTTGCGGTCACATAATAAATTATTCTGTACTCTGGATCCTTTTCGAAACGTGGAATTTCATCGAGTGACACATCGATATCGCCAAGAATACCTCTTTTGCGCTGGTGAGTTAACATTCGATAATACTGATCGCTGTCATTGCGAGAGGCACGATCCTTCTTAAATCGCGCGAGATTCACTGTGGCGCGAAATGTTTTACGCAAACACAGCGTATGCATTTTGCATATACGTTCGTCTGCAACAAATTTGATTTGTATCACATTTTTATATTTTTACCGCGAATTACGTTGAATTCAAGTTTTAGAAATCGTGAAAATTCACCTGGCTTTCCCTGCTTCGGTATCTGCGTTGCACTACACTACGCTGGGATATCAGTTAACTGATTGATCGGTGCAATTGCAGTACTGGCAGATCTTATCTGTGCTGGATAGCGATAGAAATTTATGAAGGCTAGTATTTCCGTCATTGTCTATATACTATCACCTGTTTGATAAGATCGATAATACCGCAAAGTCACTCAATAAAACGTGCGATAAATCGTATGACGTGTTGTTATACGTCCATTCCGATATAGCTAATTTGTTAACAATAATGTTGCGGTATAATATCCGATTTTGATAAAAGAACAATAAATAAATAAATAAATACTATAAAGGAAGTTGAAATTCAAAGAAAGATAAGACAATAAAAATATAAATATAATAAAGATATAATTGAAAGATAATATTGTGAAAAGTATTGTAGAAAGTATTTTACGGTACTTCGCGAAAAAGATGTTTTCGGCAAAAATTTAACACGTCATTATTAATTATATTTTATGATGCAAATACCGAGCTTATAAAAAGATATAAAGTTATAAAGATTACAGAAAAAAATTCGAATATAAGGGAATTAACGTTATTTTAAATTTAATGGAAAAGAAGATATTTAATGCGATACATTGTTGATAGTTATAAAATTATTTATTTGAAAATGCGTGACGTTACTCTCTTATTTAACCATATGTATGTATATCGAAACTTCGTGCAATAAAACCGTTGTAGTGAGGAATTAAGCCTGGATTACGATGGCTTAAGATTTCTTTTACAATCGGAAGAGATATAATACAGGATGTAATATCGTAAAATCGGTTTTTCCGTACAAAGACGATGGAATATTGCGTTAGAAGAAGTACGTATGTTCACCTTTAATTAAGGTACACCGGAGAATCTCAGTGATTGCTTATAAAGAAATAATAATTTCTCATATCTTAACAAATTATATCTTACGAGTTAGTCGTGGCTATTAAAAGTCCAGTCGATTGCATGAGAAAGTTAGCGTATCGCTTATTAACGGAAGGAAGCGGAACCACCTCGAATAATAACAGTAATAATAATTCTCGATTATGCTATTTTCAAGACGATTTTGCAGAAGAAGAATAATATAAGAGTTTTATAATCAAAGCCAGTCATAAGCGAGAATTTCTTGCGAGATAATTAGTAATCACGAGTTGTTATCAAACGTCTTAATTAAACTCATGCGTATAATTAAATCTATTCATTCTTATATCTCCAAATTGTATCGGTGCAATTGTTATTTAGTAATTTTGCCATTTTTATATTTTTGGTTAATAAAACGACGGTTTTCTTATAAAAATCCTAGATAGTTAGCAAACATATTTCTTAATAACAATTGCTTCAAGATCGCATTGTTCTTATAACTATCATTCAGATGTCGTAAAAAGGAAGTCCCTTGCGTCCATGATTCATCTTCAGAAGTCGGTGTCCCAACCGGTAAATTCGTCGGGTGGTATGTCGCGATCTGGCGGATATCTCTCAAAGTTCCGCGTGTCGAGTTGATTCCGCACCTGAAAAAGTAGAACGAGTTCTCTTCAGAAACGTAGAATTTATTTGTAAAAATTATTTCGTGAAATCGCATTGTTCGAACGATTAGCTGTAGTCTCATCAAGTTGTAACAAAGTGACAACGTCAAATCGTAATGAACCTACCGTGGGTACAATGGGAGCTGGTAGAGCTAATCTTTGAAGAGCTTGCCAGTTAAAATTGGAAAACCATCTATTAAGAAGAAAAGTGGAAATTATATCCATGTTAATCCACATCATACTCTCGAATATTAAAAAGTGTTCTCGTAAAAATATTTTCTCAATATTTGTTAATTCATACAACGCTTTTTTTAAGGCATATACATCGTCTTTCTCATTATAAATTTTCGAAGACTTACTTGTGATCGCGAATGTCCTGTATTCCATTTCTCTGGTAACCAAGTCGTTCCGAAGGACTCAAACGAAGTAATTTCTTAATGAGATTACTGGCATTCTTGTTGACGATGCTCGGTACACCGACCATCTCGATGCCTTTTAGAATTTTATTGTAGGTAGTCATATGGTCGGATCCTCGGAAAGGTGGTTTGCCGACAAGCAATTCGTGTGTTAGGATGCCGAGGGCCCAATAATCCACCGCCCTATCAAAATTAGGAAATGAACGCGATTTAAAAGCTTACAAAAATGAATTAGGCAGATATAAAGAGTATGTAAGAGCAAGCTAGCTCTTTTACCTATCATGCCCTTTATTCAGAATAATTTCTGGCGCGACGTATTCGGGCGTACCGGCGAAGGTCCATGTTTTGGCAGGTCCGATCTTTTTGCTGAAGCCAAAATCCACCTGTCGCAGAGAGTCGCTTTTGTAAAATCTTCAATCGTTAATTTAGTTTCTTACGATTTACGTAAAGGTATAATCAGATGCAAAGAAATCTGATGTAATCAAACCTAACAATTATACAATCTATTACACTGAGAAAAAAGCGGTTGGATCGACAAAACTGTCATCCTCATAAAAAAAAAAAAATGATGTCCATTTAAAAATTACATGTTGGCGTAATATGTGGCGTTGATATAATTGCTGACAAATTGCAATCACTAAACTGATTAATAACTCATTACAACAGTTATATAATTTCTTCAGTGGAGACTAACGTTGTATTTGAAAACATTTCTTTTATTTAAGAAATATTTCCTTAGTTCTATTACTTTTTCTGTTAATTGGCTTCGCGACCTTTTTCTTTATAACTGAGAGCCGAGTTAATTGATAACGATAGTGTTCACTCACAAGCTTCAAATAGCCACGTGCGTCGAGCATAAGATTCTCAGGTTTAAGATCTCGATAGACGATGTTTAGCGAGTGAAGATGATCGAGCGCTTCCACCACGCAACCGACCATGAATTGTGCGGTAACATCGTCGAAGTGTCTCCTCCTCTGAAGAGTCGTCCATACGTCTCCGCCGAGGCACACTTCCATCAAAAAGTAGACGTACTTGTTGTCCTTGTAAGTCTGATAAAGTCTGAAATAGATACGTGAAGGAATCTTGAACTCTGATCTCGGAACGAGATCTAATTTATTATGACCTCGCGGAAAATTTCCGTGACAACTTACTTGCATACAAATGCTGAATCACACGCTTGCATAATGTGCTTCTCGTTCAGCACGTGCTCCTGCTGCTGTTGTTCAACCATAGCCTTTTTCTTGAGCTTTTTCAGTGCGAAGCTCTTCTCGGGGTCGGATCTCAGAGTGACCAGCTCGACTCGGCCGAAGCCACCCACTCCCAAAGTTCCTCTCGTCTCGAGATCGGCCAAAGTCAAGTTCGCGTACTCGTTGGTCCACTTCTTCGGAGTCAACGAACGCTTCTGCTTTTCGTACTCCGCCAGCCAGTCCTTGTTGCGAATTTCATCCAGGCTGCCCAGATAGTTAAGAAACGACCTGGCATTTGCATTTCTCAAATTATAACATTGCCTTTCAATAGATAGAAAACTGGTTCCACATTATCGCTTATCGATTAATTATATTACGAGATACAAGTAAAATGTAAATGTTCATTTTGCTGAAATTCACGGGGTGAATTTTGAAACGAGCTTGAGCATAAAAGGAATTCTTAATACGAGCTTGCAGTTTTTGCAAGTTCAATTCGAAATTCAAAATAAATTCAAGATATTTTGGGAAAATATAAATATGTAAAACAAAATTTTGCCGTAATGTTTTATACAAATTAGTGGCTTTAAATTTCAATATTTTAGGAATATAAAATCGTCTTCTCATGATTATGCTCGCAAGCTCGTTTAAGTTCTAATTTTTAATCGAGACGGAAGGGATCTCAGCAGATCCAGTGAGACTGTATGAAATGACTGCAGAAATCGAACTTACGATGTGTCTAATGTCAAACATTCGACACCAGGCGCAAGTGCAATTGCGTTCGCGTGCCGACGATTCTCTCCCTCGTCATCGAAGAGAGCCTTTTCACCGAAATATCTTCCTTTGCCGAGGACTACCAGTTCCTCTTCACCTCCGTACTCGGTGTCCTTCGTGATGCGCACGTTGCCGCCGCTGATTATGTAAAATTTGTCGCCTTTCTCGCCCTGCCGTACTATTCTAGCGCCAGCTGGGAAGAATTCCTGTGAACAGGCGATATTTTACTATGTTCCTGTACGCACACTATAAATTAAGAAGCGAACATTTTCCATATTTTGTGAAAGTGAGTGAGTGTTCAGGAGAGGTTAACGTTTCTTCTTCGCATTTACCACTCTTAACAGGTCGGATATCTTCGCAAGGACGTGGTCTTTTGGCTCGGGCAGCTTTTGAAGAACAGAAACACGCCTGAGGAAGCGAATATTGCCTTCCAGATGTTCCTGAGCCGTCCTCATCATTACAGTGAGAAATACTGATCTGTCGAGCACCCATACTTTTCCACCTTTCTTCACTGAAATGTAAAACAGCACAAATGTTGATTCAACAAGTAATGTCTATTAGCAATTACAGTCAACGTATCATGGAAAATTATAATCAATATTAATTAATCGATATCAATTAATATTAATAGTAGATTACTGTTAACCTTATTGTTTAGCTACTCGCGTTAATATAAAAATTCCTTTTGTCATGTCGAATTTATTGATCGAATAGATATTTGTAAATTTCAAGTTTTTATCATTTTTTTCTTTACCGCTGATAGATCGGAGTCTCTTCGTGTTGTACAACAGGGCGATCTCCCCGAATGCAACTCCAGGTCCAAAGCTCCTTTGGAACTTGTTACCCTCGTAAATATCGAACTCTCCATCCGCCGATACATATAAATGTGAACCTGTAAGTGAACAATGACACGTACATAAGTTCATAATTAGATATATCAGTTATAATTAACCAACATTTGCACAATGTTTTCTATTACGTAATAATTGACGAAGGAATAATATGGAGGCTTACCTATGTCACCTTCTCGGATGACTAGAGTACTAACGGGAATTTGTTTGGGATACATGGCGGAAACGAGAGCCTCCACCTGATTCTCCTCCAGATTACCCAGAAATTCATTTTCGAGAATGGCCCGTTTGATCTGCCTCGCGCTCCTGCAAATGGAAAGGGAAAATAATAAATGCGATGCATACAGTTTTTCAATGACAGTTATTAATATTCTGATCACATGTATATGTATACCTGGCATCCTTCTCGTATACGGGAGTAGGTGCTGAGGGTGGCGTTGGTGTCCTTCCGATGACGCCACCCCTTGGATTGCTCACGTACCCTTCATCGCTTTCCGTTGTTGCTGCATCTTCTAGTTCGGGTTGTTCTTGATGTACGTGGAGATTGTTAACGTAATTATCTTGAGGCGGTGGAGGTGCCCTGGATTTCGGAGATGTGGACGACGGTGGACCGATGCCATTTTGAATCGCTGTACCGGGCAAGGGGCGTATCTATTAACAGAAATTGAAATAATCTGAAAAATACTTCAAGAACATTTATCGTCATAATTTTATAGTCAGAATCAGCACTTGAAAATGTTACAAAAATAGTTTGATAAGATAGAAATCGCTCAAAGTTGAAGTCCGTAGCTTATCATTTTCTTTTTCTGCTAATATTTATTTATAAATATTTAAAAATTTTTAGATAAACTTTAATAGATTCAAAAAGAATGTTCCGCAGTAAATTCTAAAATTAATATATTTTCACTTCTGTGAAAGAAACCTTTTATTCCTCAGTGAATTTATTTCTGGTCTTCCGAAAATTAATTTTGATTAATTTTAATAAAATTTTACTCTGAAACTATCTCTTTTTTTAACATTTAGCATTTATAGAAAACGTAGAAACTTACAACACCATGTGTCAGATCTGGTTCACCGGATTGCTTGTAGCTGGTGATAATCGCATTCCTTGCGCTTCCATTCTGCAACAGGATGTAGAAAGAAGTTAGTTTCTGCTCGAGCGGCCGTAGAATTAGGACTTACTACGTTTAAGTTAGCGATGCTGTTGGACTCGTCGTTACCCGGAAGAGGGGTGAGATTAATGCTACCCCTCTTCCCGAGGATATTGGCCCTCGGGAAGCACGAGAACCTCATGTTATCTTCATCCAACGCATGTCCAAAACAAATTCTTTTGACGCCTGCAAGGAAGACGGACTTTTCAATATTTGTTTTCAACGAAGTAGAAACATAAAAGTGGAAAACTAATTAGGAAATCTACAACTGACGTCACTATGGGAATTTTCTACATAATTTTTTTCTCTATATTTTAAATGTTACTCAGAAGTTTGCTTGGAAATTTTTACAAAATACCTAATGAAATTCGAGCGGTAACATATGAACCGATGTGTTTCACTCTTGCCTTGATTATAAATGAGGTAGCATTTTCACTTGTTAATTGAAAGTCACTTATCATCCATCGATCTTTTGCTCTACGAAGCAATTGATTTAATCTCGCGCGATATCTGATGTGTCACGCATTATTCAGGAGGAGTTCTTAATTTATCTCGCTAATAACAATCTCATATCACAAAGGAATTTTTAATTAGGCCGGGTAAGACGCGGCGCCGGAACGATCGTCCGATCACTCTCGAACATTCACTGGTCGCGACGCGTTTTCTTCTTCGTGATGGCACTCTCCACGGGTAATCGATTCGCGACTTTGACATCCCCGCCGAGTACGTCAATTTGCACGGCGTACTTCACCGCTCTTCGCCTTAAGCTAGACTATGCTATTTTTCGTGGCACACGGCTTGCACGTGACTGTTCGGACGCGGTGCGAACAGTCGATCGCTTCCACACCAGTCACATGCTTATGCTAATGGTGTTTGGTGCACGAGATATATTGCGCCTTGACGTCACAATGCATTAGCACATGCTCACGATGAGTATATTCTCGACTCATCCTTTCCTCTTCGTTCAGATTTCCGTTTCAAACGGCTACATGCATTTTTCCCTCGGTCGCACTCGAAAAATCTCGCCGAAGGTTTCATGATATTTCAAAAGTATTACAAACAAGTGTGTTTTATCTTATTCTTATATTATATATTATCACTTTTATATTTATATTACACTATTGCAAATTTTTGTGACGCTTTTTTATCGTTAAATCCGATGCACCTCAATGTTCCTTGACGGTTCGTAAAATTCGCGTTCAAAACTGTTTCGCTAGAGGCTAGTTTTCGCGCGCAAAATATATTTACTTTCAGCGCGTGAGAACTAATTCATCCTGTATATACGTACAAGACAATTATGAGCTCTTGTTCTCTACAGCACGCTCTTCCAGAAAAAAATACGTGACAAGGTCTATCTTGAGGCGTATCTTGAAGCATGTCGATAATCCAGACCACGTGTCGCACCGTCACGTTGTTGTTGATTTTGTCACGATGCAACGGTTTACTTGTTTTATTGGAATCTCTTTTCACAAGATGCACGTGACAGAGTATTTATGTTTTACCTCTAATTCTCAAGCGTTGTTATGTTTATCGACAATTATTTATAACGTGAAATTCTTGTGACAATACTGTTCAGGTGTTCCTGTAACGTGTTCGCGATATTTTTAAATTTTGTTGACACAATAATCGATAATGTAGAAACAGATATAGTGAATAAATTAAATTATTTATCCATTTCGCAATTTCTAAAGTTTTAGAATTGTGCATTATATATCCTGGAATAAAGGAGTACGACATAATTATAAAATATAATTTTATAATTATTTTGATATCTCCGTTTCAGGCTTCTTCGAATAAATTTGCCGAAACTCTTCTCCTTTCCTTAAATCGTTCATAAATTTAAAGACGTCTTCTGATATTTTTAAGGAAAAGTTATGCCACATTGTGACAAGGAATGTGAAAAGGAACTCTTCAGTAATAACATTGTAATATTATTACAAAAATATCATCACGCGTTTTTCGGTTATGAAGGTGTCTGGTGACGCGAACCTCAATGCAAAATATCGCTTCAAATGATGCATGGCCTCGTTATAAGACGCAAGGTCGGCTCATATCGGATTGTACGCACTATATCGGGACAACGATAACGATATTTGATTAAACCTGCGGGTAGACGATTGCCCAAACGTTAATTATAGCGCGCTCGCAACCAAGTGTGTGCATTCGTTGCATGAGTATAAACCTCGCGCGCTATATTTAATAAGTAATTACTTTTCACATGGAAATTTCTAAAATGTCATCCCACAGAATTGTTAGATTTGCAAAAATTTACCATAATTTGTTAAAATTATCATTCTCCATCGGTTTTTGGAGAGATCGACAGTAAACGGCTGATAAGTAAACGAGTTTACACCGGTACGAGATTCATACTGCGCACAGCGAATGACGAAAATTATATAACCATAATTAACGTAGCGACAGAATAATACTGTTAATTATTCTCACGCGAGAAAAATCATATTTTTCCGTCGCGCTTAAGAACGACAGATAAGAAAACTTCGTTCTTCCGGTAAGCGTTTCAGTTATACGACTTTTACGTAATGAGAAGCGTAAACATTAAAACTAACATTTCTGCAGAGAGGAAGAAAGAAAGAGAGAGAGAGAGAGAGAGAGAGGAGAGCATCAATATTTTGCATAATTTTTTGCGCGATAAAACATAATGTATAGCGTGTTAAACAACGTGAGTCCGTAACATCGTCAACAAACCATTTGCAAACCTGATATATCAGCAGATATGTCTCCGCGTACTCGTGCGTCACAAATGGTGAAATCGAATTTCCACTGTCATGCTGAGCGCACGTGGAGAAAAACGCTACGAGGAGGTGAGGAAAACGAGAACGAAAACTACGGTCGCCGCATCGGCGATTACACGCACCCGTATCTACATACATACATACGCTCTACGCTCTCGAAATAACATTTCTTATTCTTAGCCGCGGCGCCTCGTTAATGAGCAATTAAAGAGAATATCGGGAATAATTACGTTCGGTGCGTCTCGATACGAAGCGCGGTGCAACGATGCGCCCAATACAATGGCACGCGGCGTCGCCACACTCGCCGTTCGGCTCGGCTATCTTTTTTTCGTTCTATTTTCTTTACATAATTTCGAGGTCACGTGTCGCGGCAACAAAGTGAGAACGTAAAAATAATAATGCAATTCCTGTTGCGCAATGTTCTCTCGATGTCGGTTCCCAGATAGAAAATACACCGGGCGACTAGCTGTCGCGATCGGATAAATGATAGCGATTTTTATGGACTTTGCTGAACTTTAAAGCATCGTCAAGCGACGATTATGCCTCTTCAAAACGCTCGACGGTATTGTTTGCGGACGATAATGGTCCTGATTGTAAGATACTAATCGCTGAAGAGATTTATCCGGTGTCTCAGCGACTCGAGCACTTCCTCTTGACTTCGCAATTTTTGACAAGTGTGAAATTTGGCTCGTCTTCATGGGAAATGTGACTCGGGTTTTTCCTCTCGCAGTTACTTAATCTTCTCTGTATATCTGGATTAATAATTCAACGGCGGAAGTGATTTTGGTAATAGCATTCTTAATCCTAGTTAATCACACTTATTTTCGAGTCTTTAATTCGCCACACTTATGTCTGTGAGACCGCTCGACTTTGTCGCATTATCATTTTCATTCTAATTCATATTTTTAAGCTTGTAATGTAACGGGAATTGAAAATATAGAGTCTAAATAAAACGTTTATAATATCAGGTAAGAAAAAATGTTTTGGGCTTAAATTAAACTTATTACTATGAGAAAAAGAGTGTTTTTAGAAAAAAATTCTCAAGTGGTTTTTCAAACGCGACTGCAAGGAAAAAGTAATATTCATTTGTTATAGCAAATACTTGATACTTAAAAAAATAAATAAATAGTATGCCAGGTGAAAAATTGGAAAACCGTAAAATGTTTAGTGGTCCACTGGACCAGAATGTGGCGAGCTAAGATTAAGAATTCACTTTAAAATGAAAAGGAAATTCGGTGAATCGTGAATTTTTTATTGTAGAATTCTCGGTATCAAGGATGTGACCTGAGTATTCCAGATAGAAGTTGAAACTAAATAGTCCTAAAATCTTCCTCTAGTTAATATTATTCAAAATAATTCGATATTTACTTTCGATTTATCATTTAATAATTATGTTCAAGTGATAATTGTTTATGTTTCAAATACTTCAAATATACGAATATTAAAAAATTATTACATTATACATTAGTTGGATTTAATATTTATTTTGATCTCTTATCATGACAATCATTATACATCTGCACAGTATGTTCAACATCGATATTTCAGATTAGCTGATTATCTTATGGTGAAGCGATTACTGATTGCCTGTTATATATCTACCATTCTATCTTACATAATTTAAATTTATTGACTCTCTGAAAAATAGAAAAATTTTACCCCTTCTTATATTTGCATACAAACTCTCTTCTTAACATATTTACCGATTATCTTGATATCTTTATATAAAGCGTTATTAAAATATACTGCGGAAAATTATACTAATAGTAGTATTGTAGTATTTGGCCAATAAGTATTCCACGTATCTTAGCTTTTTTTCATGGAAAACGCTACTAAACTTAAAAAACTGCCTGTTCTTAAATAATTCTTTTGTTACTTCCTTATTTCGTAATCTTTCTTTGTGCTCGTCATTTCTTCTTGGCGCTCTTTCTTTTCTCTCGTTTTTTTTTGGTTTATTATATTCCCACATTTGCACTGTTAATATGGAATTCGTAATTCTAATAAAGATAAAGACAAAGTTAGAAAAAGATGCGACAATCCTCTCATACATCTCTTGGTTTTACGCGTTTCCTGATTACAACATCGATTGAGTTTTCGGCGTGATTAATTACGACTCTCGATCGCGCTTGAGACCTCGTTACCTCGCTTAGCGATATTTTTGCTACATTCTCGCAAACATTTCATAACGTTACGCAAGAATAATATAGACCTACAAGCGCTTAATGCAGCGGCCAATTAACACGCGCTGCGTGTTGTTAAGCGCTGTCCGACGTATTATCGGTGTTTGCGGAGAGGTCTGCGTATACATTCGGAGTCGCGAACAATTAAGGCAATATTGTTTTGTAACGCCGGTCACATAGGCGCCTCTTTAATACAGACGCAAGTTTAATCAACTGTATCGACAACCGCGCGCAGGTTAATTAACTCTTCTCACCCGCGTACACATACACGGCCGTAATTAATTCTCTTGAGGTGACACGAATTTTACGTACGTTCTCTTCCGAGGAATAGTCATTCTTCGTGCCGTGTCTTTCAGTTCAATTCGACGAGCTACTTCGCCGTATCACTTATCCCATAAAAAAGAAACAGACTCAAGTTAACAATAGATATTCTCATAAGCGAGAATATTATAATACTCTTAGAAGATTTTTAATTTGGAATTGCAAGTACTTACATCTATATAAATTCAATTAAATCAAGACTAAAAATCTTCTAAGAAGGTTATAATATTTTTGCTTATATATGAGAGTGTTTACACGGGAAAAAAGTTTGGTTGAATTTACCAGACAGAGTCAATAAATCAAACGCGTTTTGATTGAAGGAATCAGAATTACTGGTTATAAATTTGGGTCGTAAGAATCAGATATTCGGTTTTCTTCAATCAAAAGACGTTTGTTCACTGTATTGTAAATTCAAGTTAAAGTTTTTTTCGTATATTATTGATTTAAGACCAATTTTTTTCCGTACCGTCATCCATCGCGCGTTGACTCTATTAAATTATTCGCCTCGAAAAGATCGGAGAAAACTGACAATAAAGATACGACAGTACTAATTTCGAGAAAAAATAAATCGTCGGACGCGAATAAATTCGCGGAAAAATTCTCTCTTACGGAGAGAACAAATCCAACGACGATTATCTCTGTGCGCTTCATAGATTCGTCTCTTTAGTCAACATTGAATCTTACAATAATAAGGATTTTAATTAGAGAACATATCGATAATAATGCATAATGTGTATTTTTTCGAAGAAACCGTCGACTACCGCGCGTATAATCGCATTAATAGTCAAGTATTTACGATCCTGCTGTGACGCAAAACAACGGGAATCTTATCATCTCGGCCACCACCTCCTCCCGATTATCGGCGCCGGAATGCAAGCGATTGTGGAATTTATCAGCGACCAGTATCTGGCCACAAATCGCAGTTTCCGCGGATCGATTAGATAATCGATCGCGCGAACCAAAAGAAACGTCGTTTGAAGGGGACGCTTAGCTCATCGGCGACCAACGCGGGTCGTCCGTTTTCGCCGGGACTCACCCTTCAGGTTGAAGTCTGAAAAGCTTAACCGGGTGGTTCACTCGAAATCCCGCGCCGTATGGCGGTGAATAAGAAGACAGGGTGAGAGAAAGTTCCGCGGACGTCTCTCTCGCGCGAGACTTTCTGTTCGCGCGATTTCGACGACTGTGAGGAACGCGGAATCGCGGCTCTCGTTCTTCCTTCTCGCTTTTCTTTTTTCGACTACCGCGAAACGGAGCTGCACCGCACGAATTCGCGCATTCGACTGATGCTTCAAGTTCGACAAAGACGCAGAAATCTTATCTAGCCGATAACAGGGCGACGCAATGTCAATAAGCAGGTATACGCGTTGGCGCGGACACCTTATCTAATGAGTCTATTCTCTTTCCATTAATAAGGCCACCTTCGCGCACCTCGTCGAGCACGTGTACTGCAATTCTCGGAAAAATGTATCGCGTTTTTTCCTCATCGTTTCTAACCGGCATTATTAATGTTTGCTTACTCAGCGTCCGTTACTGTGAGTAAAAAGCAAAGAGAGAAAATACGAAAGATCATTCGCTGGCAACTTATTACCACTTTTCTTCTCATAGTTTTCTCTTATCTTCAAAATAAGCAAACTTACCGCGTATAAATATACCGGAGATAAGGTCGCGAAAACTACCGAATTTTTTTAATTATTTGCACGTTAAACAGTCCTTTTTTCACGTTAATTTATGGCCGAGAAGTGCGGTTATTGTGTAAGTGGTTTTATGCGGAATTTCGAAACTCGCGAAAGAAGCATTAGCACACTTGAATATTGATTTCTTTCTTTTTTTCTCTCTCTTTCCATAGCGCCGTAAAAATTTTGCCGATTCAGCAAGGTGTCTAATTCGCAAGCGAATGAGATTTCGCGATTAAACAGCAAGATAACTCGATAGTCGTTCCAACGATGTTTCGACGCGCATCATCGCGGATTTTTGAATGAAATTACGATCCGTATTATCGCGTATCATTTGTCCGTTGTTTCCTGCATAAGATCGCCTCGACCTTCGTTCCCGTCCTTCCCGATCCACATGTTACGCGAAATTTATCCTCAAATTTTAACCATCGGACACGAGAAATCCTCGAGAATCGTCCGCTTCTCAGAACAATTCAGAGAGTTAAACACAGGAGTTTAACACACAGGATAATACTCGTCGCGGTCTTAGAAAAAAATCTTCTCAGTTTATTAGCTCATGGACTATTGACGGCTGTCTGCTCTTTCTAACGACATGTGTCGCTTCCTTATCTTCGAAACGATGATCTTGCATCACGGGCCAGATGTCTTTATCGTGCTCTCTGTCGAGCTATAAGTTCTTTTTCAACAATTGCGGCAACCGAGAATTCCCGAGAGGCTCCGTGCGCGCTGCTCTGATATTTTTCTCGCACCGGCAGAAGATTTATCTGGCTGTGAGGCTAATTCCCCGATTGTCTCGTTAATTTATTCGAATGACTCCGCTTGTTACCTGTCCACGTGCTTTGACTCGGTAAAGCGAGCAACCACACGCGTCCTTCTTTTCTTATCATTAGACGTCTTTTCTACCGGCGTCATTAGGTAACATGACCGAATGACTCATTCTATGCAGATTTGAATATGTACTACTTAATCGCGCGAGATTCACGTAACGCGATATGTAATCAGTTAGAGCGTAATTATCGTGCCCGCCGCGGTGTTCCTTTGATCGTTCAGGAAACAGCGACTTGAACTTTTCCGCTTTCGTAAATTCGAGATCAACTCTAACGAATAATGGCAATTGATTAATGACAATAATGATTGAACGATAACGACAGGCCGCGATGAAAGAAAAGAATGATGGCACGTCGTCACTCGTACAGTGCCATTATGAAACTTCTGCGTGTACACTTTATTGTTTATCACCAAATTTACAAAGAATTCTATTTTACAGAGAATCCTATCCTTTTTTCGCTCTTTACAAAATCCCCCGTAATAACTGCTCGTGAACATAATTTCGGTCCCGGACCGTAACTTGTATTTTTCGATAATAACTTTTGATAGTAACTTGAAAAGCATAAAATAATTTCCAAATGTTTAAAAACCTCGGTATATTCAATCTCGCAATTATCATGCCTCAATATGTTATCAATATGTAATTAAACGTTACATAAAACACGACATATAAAAACTTTGAAGTACCACAGCGTTTCATAACAACCCGGTGCGCGGAAGTCGCGAAGATATCGCGATATCGATCTTTGCATCCCCGTATTCTCGAAATCGCACACTTCCTGCCACATTGTGAAAATTCGTTCGCCAGCCGAAGCGGCTCTTTCGAGTGCCAGCGCGATAACGTACGTACGTGCGTGCGCGCCTAGTTAATTTACCGGAAATACTCACCTCTCGAACTTCACGATCGCGAATGCACGATCGTTCGCGACTCGTCGCGCCACGATCTCGCGTCCTAGCCCCGGAAACGGTGTGACTTCCGCGTGGAACACGTGCACAAACACCTTCGCGTCACCAGCGTTCTCGTGTCGAGTAGCTCTGAAACGCGATTTCCTTCAAATCGTTCACCGTTGATCCATCGAGACGCCGAAACTCTCCGGCGATCTCGAGCCGAGATACCGGCGAATCTGCGTCGAGTCTCGCTGATCGGATCGCCGACAGATGATTTCACCACTGGATTGAAATTTCACTAATAATTATCGCGGCTCTATCGCCGTCGACGACTCTTTGCCTTTTTCTTTTCTCCCGAATTCACATCACGTCGGGAAAAACTTTGTCGCAGTTAATTCGGTTCCCCGCGTCCGTCTGTCGACGAGAGTAATTTTTTTCGCGCGATAATCGACGAGACGATTTTACCAATAAGAACTTTAACGCGTCCTTCCGCTCTCGACGCTGGGTTCCACGTGTGCCGGGCTTATCGCCAGCCGTCGCTTCGACTTATCCCTGAACCGCGCCGCCGAAAAGTGCTGATAACCGACCCATACTCAGACGGTGCTATCGACAGGTCGGTCCCTGTGCCACTAACAGAAAAGTACGCTCGCGTTTTCCGTGGCAGTAGACGCGGCCGACAACGTGTGGGGGTATTGTTAATTATTATCGTTTGGTACTCGCTTATCCGCGCGATATACCGGGAGGCGCAGTGCGCCTTTTAAGTAACAACTGGACTGTGCGTCGTCTCTTCATGCCGGATACGTTAGGATGTTTTAATCGAATTTAATATAATTTAATTTAATTTGACTCTTCGTCTTTACGACATCGCATCCGAGTCGTATTTATTATTTATTACGCTTACATCTGCCGCGCTTAATTTTATTTAGTTTTTGTATTTGATTTTCCTTCGATCGATCCTACGTGACATTTTTGTACATATTTTGTGTTGCATTTTCTACTTATTATAATAAGGCTAAAAAAGAGACATGTAGAAAATTACTGATGAGAACGTTAAGCTCTGACATATCTTTCAGAGATATGTCAACTTTTACGTTATCATTCTAATCAAGTGTGAAAAAGATTGGAAAAGAGTTCTAAAAATTTAATTGTAAGTACAATTCATCGCAGAAAATAAACTTCACTTTTCTCTTTACTTCTCTTTACTTCACTTTTCTCGTCTGAAATATTTCATCGAAATTTTCATTTACGTTGATACGACCGCGATAATAATATTATAATTACAGTAGTCTTATGATTTCTTTGTGTCGCGAAATAAAAATATATTTCTGAAATTTGAAAATTTTAAACATCATTTGATTATCGTCTAAAATTAACCGCATCGATAACACGTATCAGAAAATTTCGATGTTGTCCATATTTTAGAATGCAGTGTGTTCGCGTATCTATAATATATCTAAGATATATACAATACTTATATATTATAAAAGATGCCTTTAATAATAATTGTAATAAAAGATAATTATTATATAATTATTTATGTACATATAATTATTACATAATTAATTATATGAATAAATAATTCATATTTATATGAATTTATATTTATGTAAAAATGAATTATTTATGTGAACATATACATAATATTTTTATTATATAATTATATAATAATTATTTTTATTAATTTATTATATAAAAATAGTAGCTATTAATTACGCGCACTTTCAATCAGTATAAAAAATAAAGCTTTGTTGATACTAAAATGTTAATGTTTGATAAAAAAATAATTGCGAAAAAATATTAAGATCATAGAGCAGTCTTGGAATTTTCACTCTAAAGATGACCCACAATTCACGATAGAATTTACAACGCGAAATTTCGTTTATAAGAAATAAAAAAAAATTATGTTTATAGATATAGGCATATATCTATATATCTATAAAGGTTCAAATGTTTTCTGTATTACAAGCTATATCAATTTATGAGCAGAATTTCGTCGTGAATATGGCTCGTCTATAGTTGACTTAAATGTTTATCAATCAGTGGCGATTATATATACACAATTACTCGCTTTTCTGCTCTCTTTTCTTTCGCAGTCATCGTTGCCCGCCGTTTCGTTCGATCGCATTCATCATTGTGACGAAAATTCCATCCTGCCGTTGCATTAAATTTGCCGGTGAACCTTCCTCGACAATTTTACCTTCCTCGAAAACGACAATACGATCGCAGTCTAATAAAGCCATCGCTCGATGCTATAAAAGAAAAATTGGTTCTGTTAAAAATTTTACTTATATCAATTGTTAGAAAGATTAAATCCCGACTAATAACAATCAATGACAACACATCTCATGATAATACTCTGATTTAAAGAAGATGTAAGGCAAAATGGGTTTGATAAGGATTTAATAAAACTTGTACTACGTATTCGTTGAAATACTATCTAATTGTTCGTGCAAAAAGATTAACCGTCCGATAGTTGAGAAAATTGCAACTAAAATTAACACGTTTTATACTCTCTGAGCTTGGCGTGTTTTTTTAAATTTCTATTTTTAACATCATCTAAATTAAAAATAATCTGTATCTCTGTTATATCAATTAATATTTATATAAATATAAATATAACATTAATAAAAATAACAAAAAATTATATTTTCGTATGTGTAATATTTTGTATATACGTTTACCTCAACTTCGTTTCAAACATTAATATTTATTATTTAGAGAAACGATACATTAAATTTTTAACGGCTAATTTTATTGCGAAAAAATAGAAAATGAATCATGCTGCAGTTAAAATCAACCTTGATATTGATAAAATGGACAATTTGACGGAACTATGTATATTAAATACCAATATCTACCTGATAATTTAAGTTTTATTAAAATTTTATTCATGAAATGTTTTACTAACCGCGATAGTGATCACAGTTTTATCGGCAAAGGCAACTGCTACCGCTTGTAAAAGAGACTTTTCTGTGGCTACATCGAGCGCGCTGGTCGCTTCGTCCAATACGACGATACTCGATCGCTGAAGGACAGCACGTGCCATGCACAGAAGCTGAAGCTGACCGGTTGAGAAATTCTCACCGCCCTCTCGAACCTCAAAATCTGCGTTAAAAAATGATTTCCAATTATTATTTTGAACATAAAATTTCCCTTCGAGAAATCGAAAGTGACGTAGTTAATTGATTCAACTTCTAATAATATGTGCAAAGAAGAAACAATTTTACGGCAATTTTATTGTTTTAAAAAGTTTTAAGACATGAAAATTATCTTCACGTGATTACCTGTCGAAATCTGAAATTTTTATTTCTGGTCAAATAAACAAGAGCACAAACGAAAACAATAATTTAGAAGGAATAATATCAGGTGAATTCGAGTGGAAATATCACGTACTTAGTCCATCAGGATGCGAGGCTATGATTTCCTTCATTTGAGAAAGCTCCAAGGCTTGCCAAATTTCCTGGTCCTCGTGTTCCGAAAGTGGGTCCAAGTTTTCTCTGCGGACGTTATTTAAAATTAAGTTCAGTAAGGACGCTAAGCAATTAAAAATGCTCAGTTTTTATTACAGCAAATTGATAAGATTAGATTATAACATATTATTGCGGCTATTAACGACAATAAAATTATATGATAACGCTTAGGAGTACCTAATCGTGCCGCTGAACATTATTGCGTCTTGCGGTATGGCCAACAATCGTGATCGCAATGTACGAAGAGGTACCTGCCGGATGTCGATCCCGTCTATCGAAATGCGGCCTTGACTGATTTCGATCAGCTGGAAGAGAGCCGCCACGGTCGATGATTTTCCACTTCCGGTTCTTCCGCAAATGCCTAACTATGGACAGTATTTAGCACAATTAGAGTGTATATAAAAACAAAAAAGAAATCTGACGTATCTTCTTGGTGATTGTTGTTTATAGTATATTGAACTTTTCGGCTTAATTTTTAATAAAGTATATATCTCTAGGAACGATTAGTGGATACTACGTGTGCTTTGAATTTTTATTTCGTTATTATTACATAGTATTTTTGTATTCTTGTAACATAATAATTTTATATTTTATATGTAAATAATTACCTTTTGTCCAGCTGGTATCCTTAAAGTTAAATTTGCGATCACGGGATCTCTGTCCACGTCGTAGTTTAAGGAAACATTGTCGAAAAAGATATTTCCTTTGTTGGGCCAATTATCAGGCACACCTAAACCTGAAATTCGTTAAAAGAAAGCAATTAATAATAATAATAATAATAATAATAATAATAATAATAATAATAATGACTTTATTGAGCGTCACAAAGTTACAAATCTTTACTATGCGATAAAAGAGAAAAGAAAAGAGTACGTCATCATAGAGATCGAAAATTACTACTCATTCGTAACATCAGATTGCACTTGTCGCGAGTGAAATACATTGTGTTAATAATAGACTTCGTAATTTCAGAGTTTACATGTCTATCGATCTTCTTCCGCTATATTTTATCTTCTCGCGATATTTGTCTCGACATGAAGTACACGCGAAGTGAGAACTTAGCACGGATAATAAAGCGCATACATTTTTCGCGTTTATGCGGATTAACGGCGACAGATTTCAGATCGCAGAACAGTTACCGTTTTCGTGATAGTTCTCCGGTTGCGTGTTCCTGTACGCGGATATTCGAGCCACGCTGCCCATATACATCTCGATGTTCGCTGTAAACTTGACCACCCAGTTCAGGTATATCGGTACTACGAGAGTATAGTTGATCGCCAGACCCACTAAGGCGGGTGTCACGCGGCTCGGGTACAATTCCGCGGAATGTAAGGCCGCGAAAATGGCTGTCACCACGATAACAGCGCCCAGATAATCCTGTAGATATTAACGACGCAATGAAAAGTTTATACGTCACTAAAATCGACGGCCTAACAATCGGTAAATCACGAAACACGAAATCAAAATTAAAACTGTGTCGAGTGAAATTTCGAGGCGCAAATATAAAATTTCTAAAGGTGTGATTTATTTCTGAGAATCAATTTGAATCTTTCAGCGTTTTCTCGCTCATTACACTCACCAACGCGATGCCCAGCCACCTGTCGCTGGTGTGCAAGATAAGGAACGCGTTGGTATTCGCGTCGAGGCGCTTCATCGCCTCCTCCATGAAGCGGTCTTCTTGCTTGAACGCTCTCAATGTCGGAAGTCCCGACAGAGTTTCTGAAAAGTGCGCAGCCACCGGTCCTCTCGTACTGCGAGCAACATTTGCGTAATTGTTCACATATCTTAATAGGAAAGCGACGAAATTGGCAAGACAGCCTTAACGAATATCTTTATTAGAGACAAGGATATAATTAGAGGCAAGATATTGATTACTTCGGATGTTCGAATACTTCAAGAAGAATTTCTACATGAAAGGATATTCTACTTATCGCGGGAGAATTTTCGAATATTTATTAATGCTTTGATGCTTTCATACGAGATTTCTAACATTTGGAGAACGATAATTATTAGGGTTAGAAATGATATCCGAAGCTTCGAATTTTTAACCCTTTAATACATTCTATTCGAATAATGAAATTTTGTTGTAAAAATTGTTGCAAAAATTCCAACGTTCGGATATTCGAATATTCGAATGTTTGAATATTCAAAATTTCAAGAACTAAAAAGTACGTGTGCTCGTTTTGTAGGCAAAGTAAATAGTATCGACCGTCCTAAAGAATGTAATTTTTTCTTGCATTGCATTATGCTATTACATATCATGGCAAAATTTGCATTTATTTTAAAATAAAGTTAATGAGATTTGTTTTGTCTTTATTATTTATACCTTCTTCATTCGAAGCTTCGAACATGTCGAATAGTATTCCTAATAATTATTAATACCTGCCATCCAGTCGTTGCAATTGTCTGGCGCTCTGTCTGTAGAATTTTTGCAATATATAGTAAGCGCAAATGGTTAGGAAGGCGGCGAAGAAGAACCACAGCGAGATGGCAACGTTGACAATTATCGACGAGCTGCAGAGCAGCACGAAGAATGTCAGCCTCTTGATCGACGTGGATAATTTCTAAAGAAACAAAAAACAATCACAAGTATTAGTCGAGCGTAAGATTAAGATAACGTCATTCCCGCTTGTCACTTATTTTCAACGATACCCGTCTTTAAACCTGATTATTTCAGCAACGATTGTAAGAGTAATATGTCGCTTCGTTTGCCGAAGCGTGCCAGGCGACTATTTTTTACCTTGTCTATCACACCTATGTCAGCGCTGAACCTGTTCAGAATCTTGCCGACGGGATTACAGTCGAAGAACGAAATAGGCGCGCCGAGAAGCCCGGACACGGCCTCCCGATGTAATCTTCGTCTCGCTCTGGCACCTGCCCATTGACTCGTTATATTGAACAGAAGCGACGCAAAAATGGAGCCCACGGAAATGATAACGTATATTTTGAAATAGGAAACTGTCTGAAAAGAGAAACATGTTCGAAATTATACTCGGCCAGAGAATGTATCGATTCTGTATCTTCCTTATCGTGTAAAAATAATTTTGATTAGATTCTTCAAGGGCGATTTCAAAAGTTCTCAAAGTTCAACGTTTTAAAGAAATTTCCAAATTTCAAACGTTGATCGACTGATTGGTAGGTGGAATTTGTTATATCTTTGAATTATGAAATAAGAAATATGAAATATTTCTTTCCCTTATGCGTGGATTTTTTAATGCGCGATTCAAGTAAGATGACACTTTTATCGTCCTGAAGTTAAACAATACCGGAAGTCTACCTACATCCTCGTATTCGTTGATCGACCAATGAGTATTTTGATCTGTCCATTGACTCAGCCAGAGATCCATGCACACGCGGAGAAGTTGGCAGGCCAAGGCTGTTATGATGTAAGCGTTTCCTGATAGCCATCCACCGGCCCGAAAATATTCTATCCAGATCATCGCAGTGACGAGTCCGCTTTTATCGTCGGCTTCAAATCTATTCTGCTCGTCTACGTCCTCGTCATCGAATACTGACAGAAATTCACGAATTATGAGACACGTTTTGTATCGTTCGAAAAGAAGAGGAACGTATAGAGACTTGTACAAAGAACGAAAAATGGTTAGGAAAAAGGATCTCGAAATAATAATAACCAACCTTCTTCCACTTCATTTATGTCGTCAGAGTTTTGTGATTTCCTCCACAACAATAGTTTCGCCGGGAGGTGATCGTGTTCCTGATGCTGATGTATTCTGAAAACACATAAAATGATAAGTTATTAGCTATTTGCGCTTGTAATTATTACTCATCATCATATAAATATATAAATCATATTGTCGTTTATAATTACTTGTTCGAACCAGGCACTAGTTTTCGTAAGACGCTTTTGTCTCTGTTTATCGTCGTGTCTTCTGGTTGTACAATGACCCTAAAATTTATGTTATTACCGTTTTATTCCTTCAACGTATGCGTCACGACAACAAATCGCGTCATGTGGTTTTATTATACGATAAAAAAAAAACATTGTAGAACCTCGTGGAGAAGAGCTGTTTCAGCACGCTGTTGTGCTGCCCGTTGTCGTATGTGTTGTTTCTTTTTCTGCACAGAAATATAAACGTGCTTCATCGATTCAAAATAAACATAAATAAATCAAATTGAAATGTGAAATATAAACCGTGCTTATTAATTAGAAACATTTAAGGACAAAAAGAATTAATTAACATTTCTGTCGATATTCATACCTCGGCGCCACATATCGGTTCTCGAGAATCGTCGGCGTGCTGCTCTGTCGAAGGACCGGCGGTGGTCGTCTTTGAGGTTGAAGGCTCGTCGATCTGACGGTGTCGCGACATGTTTTTGATCGTTTTCTGCCGATGCTCCATTCTTCCGTCGACACTGGAAGATCTGTGAGATCGCAAGCCAAATATCTCGATCCCAAAGTCGTTCGACGCAGTCTTAAAGGAACAAACACTGGCGGATTCTGTAAAGTTCCCAGCGAAACGACATTTTTCCGGCATTATAGAACAAACGTTATGTAATATTTCGCATTTTCCAATCGATGTGTCTAATCCAAGTAGACATCTACTTCGCGATCTGTCGTTAGAAAAAAAAAAAATCTTAACATACTTGGTTTTCTATAATTTACCACATGGGCATCGCGATCGACGTTCCATGACCCATCGCTGGCATGTCTGTCTTTCACGTTGAATCCAATCCTAGACACCAGCCTGATCAAGGACCATCTGTCTCTGGCAGTCCTCTGAGAGCCACCGTCGTCCTGCTCTCTCGAAGCCGCGACTCGCCACTCGGCCGCCAATTCAGGATCCGCGTCCTCGATGCTGGACTTTGTTCCGACCGCGCGAACTCGACAGCCGTCCATAACGATCACCTGAAAGTAAATTTTTCCTCACCACGACTCTTCACATAGAGTCATCTCTCAGCTCTTCAAAGAGCCGATCCGAGGTATTGAGAAACTCGTAAAACCTGATGAGCGGTAGATAACAACTCCAGTCTGTGAGTGACCATAATCACCGTCCGACCGCTCCTCAGCAGGGATTTTCTCACGCCATTATCAAAGATATGTTGTCCGACGTGTTGATCTAACGCCGACAATGGGTCGTCCTGGAAGCAGATGCCAGTTGCGCTTACGTTACGATTTTTTTCTGCAAAGAAATCAGTGCACTCGGCGAACGTACTAGGAGGAGCACATCGGCGTCATTGTAAATGGCTCGCGCTATGGTGACCCTCTGCTTCTGCCCACCGCTCAGATTGATACCCCTCTCGCCTATCCTGGTGAGGTCCCGACCGGGAAGTATGTCCACGTCTGGCTGAAGGGCACACGCACGCAGCACGTTGAGGTATCTTTGCGAGCAATACGTCGAGCCGAAGAGAATATTGTCCTTCAGAGTGCTGTTCAAGAGCCACGGCCGTTGAGCCACGTAGGCGATCTTCAGACCCCTAATGAAATGACGTGTGATGTAATCTCAGCTGATAAAAAGGTTATCATAAATCTCGAAATTTGCGGTTTTGATTATTTATTATTACTTGGTCCACTCAACGCTCCCGCTTATCCGCTGAATCTCTCCCAAGAGAGCCTGCAGCAAGGATGTCTTGCCGCTTCCGGTTTTTCCCACTATTAATGTCAATTGTCCTGAAATAATTCGAGTATTATCGTGATTTATTTTACGGAAAAAGAGCTATTAAGAAAAGAAACGTAGAAAAGTAAAGATTAAATCAGGTTATGAATATACAGATTGAAAAAAACGTAATGTAAATTATCGCGCTTAAAATCCAGCGATGGTGCTTATTAGCCTTGTATATTTTACGTCGCTGAATATTAGAGAACTTTATTGATATTTGTTTATACATTTTTGTGTTTGAAAGTTTGGTTTTTATTTTGTTTACCACGTGGGAAGTTGAGGGTGTCGACCACTAATGTGTTGTCATCGGATCCCCAAGTAAAGATACTCGGTGTAATCTTGACGACAGAGTCCGGTACCTTCGGATCTCGCTCAAACACCGTGTCGATCGAGGAGTCTATAGTTAAATAGAACTCCTGTGAAACACTCGGCTGCCGATCTTCTTCGCTTTCTACAATATCGTCGAGCGATCCGCATGTTGTGACGCTGGCCATCTTATTTGCCTTCATTTTGAAAATAAATTAATGTTATTTCGACGTAAGTAATCATATATGAAAAGCAGGGAGACAGGGATACTCTTCGATGTTTAACTTGAAAAGTAATCACCTCGTTCTCGATGTACAAATTATTCTTTGAAAATCTTTCCTCGATAACACTCGATCTTTGATTAGGTGGCTCGGGAAGAATATTCATCACCTCCGGAATCCGTAGAAAATCCTCTAGTCTCGTCGTAGAGACCTGCGAGGCGAAAGATCGTGAAGAGTTATCTCTCGCCAGATTCAAACGGTATCATACTAAGCGTTATTCCTCACCATGGCGTTGATAATAATCGGCACTATCGTCGGAAAGATGAAAAGCGGCACCGCCATCTGCGAAAAGAGCGCGAGACTGGCAAAAACGTTTCCCGCGTCGAGATTTCGTTCCTCCAGCCAGAAATAAATTCCGAATGTGAAGAGGGTCACCAGAATCGAGGAAGCGTGCGTCACGAAGTCTGCAACGTTGAAGCATGAATTTTATCAATCTTCTTGATTCAGCTATTTGAGTAATGAAAATTTTGCAATAATTTGCTTATAATTTCCTAGTCGAACGAAAAAGAATTGTTTGTTCCCTACATCAAAATAAGATCAGCTCATATTTCTATTTTGAATTTACCGATAAGTGTGCAATATATAGAATTCTTGTCCAACAGCTTTAATTCCTCATCCCGAGCTTTGCGTATACGATCCTCGAAGACATTCTCCCAGGCTCGTAGCTTAATGAGTCGCATTCCTTGAAGAATTTCATTGACCAGACGAAGGCGCGCGTCGCTCTTCTCCTGAAATATTTCGCGAGTAATATTATCAGGGAGAATGCGATGTCTGTCGTTATTAATCAAGTAACGGGGCAAAGAATCGACGATCTGTTGTGCAATTGACATCCAAATCGCGGAGCAAATCACCGGAAATTGTTTCTCACCGTTATGCACGTGGAATTTACGGACATTTGTTTGCCGAGAATAAGCTGCATCGGTGTGACAATCAATATGCAGCAAATTGATCCTATAATCGCGCTAATGCCTAGTTTCAGGTACAGAAGAAAAATAATGGCGGTGATCTGTAAAGAAATTCGACGCGTGAACATATACGTTGAAGACAATTGAAATTATTACGCATTATTCGGTGATTCGAATAATTTATTCTAAATAACTCCCCTAAGATATTGATAATAACATGCGATACTGCATGCTACTATAATTTAAATACTTTTATATACTTTCAGAGGTATCGCCCAGACGTAGTGGCCGACCCAGAAGAAGCTCATCACGTTATATGCGTCTTCAGCCATGAGATTCGTCAGGGTCCCAATGTCGGCTGCCTGCGGATGAGAGTGTTGCTCTTTATCCTTGTCGGATGGCTTCTCCTCCTCCGAGATACTCCAAGAAGGTAACCGAAGAGCCTTATCGTAAATGAGTGCCTGAAGGTGCAATTTAATTTCAGAATACGTCATTTCCTTGGCGCTTGGTAATATCCGAACGCGCCGAAAATGACAGGAAAGAAACTCGATTCTTGAATATCTATATTATCTTATATAGCGAGATAGATACCTGAAGAGCCGTTTTTAAGCGTATTCCTGCGACATAGAGTATATGAGTGTACGCTTGGCTTAGTGTGCTTTGTAAGATGATCGCGAGGAAGACTACGATCCCCAGAAAATATCCGTTTTGCGATATCTCCGAAAATGTCATGGTTCTCTAAATGAACGCGAGAGTTAATCTCCTTCACTAAACGTGTCGTATATTACGATGTTGATAAATGATAGAGAGACGTGAGACTCTACCTTCCAAGGGAGATTTTCCCTTGACACGGTGCTGTTTTGACGGTCTGACACGTAATCGATTATTTTGGGAATCATCATAGGACCGATTAAAGTCGTAGCGTCTCCAAGAAGCTTCAGAAGCCCACCCGCCGCGAAAGCTATCCATATTCGCTTCCAGAAGCATTTCCATAAAGATAATTTCCGTCCTCGACAGCGCAGCTAGAAATATAATGAGTCGGCTTACATGAATATACACGCGGATAGCGTAGATAATGTATATTTAAATATCTTAACTTATTCTAAAAATTCAATTGCAACTGCAAAGTTCTCGATATGATAAATGTTTAATACTTTACTTATTGAATAGAAACGTCTTAACACGTGATAACAATAAAACTTTAAATTCTTTAATATTAAAATTTAATATTAAAATTTATATCACGTTATATTACAAATATGAATATAGACCTAAAAATAAAAGAGAAAGAGAAAGGAGTAATTTTAATAATTATCTAAAATGAAAATGTACAGCGAATATTATATATATAATGATTGCTTATACATATATTTCAATTACTTTTACCAGTTATCTTTCATAGAGACTTCTTCGAAAGAAAAGGCAATCATAAAATAGCGTTACCTTCTCGGTTTCGTAAATGTTGCGGAATCGGTCGAACTGATTCCTCGTTGATTCTTCCTTTGGAAGCTCTCCGAGGTCGTGAAGTTCTAAAGGCGCCCGATATCCGCGCCATAATAAGTCAGTTACCCAGTGGAAGGTGATTCTGCTGAGAAACGGCGAAACAGATTGCCGGTACGATTTTCGCCTGTTGTTGTTCTTTCTAATAACGTAACGTCGGCTTCTCCTTATCTGGTGACAACCGAAACATCGTCGCCGATGTATTTACGATGTATTTACGATGGAAGAATGAAAGGAAACGCATCGTAAGATACGATATGTTTGACATTTCATTTTACGTAGGGGAAAGTCGAGAGTAAAACTTCACTGACGAGGAAAATTGCAACAGTATCCCCTATTTCAATTAACTTATTTAAATTAAATTATTTTTTATCAATTTAACAATCAATTTAACAATTACTTATGAAGCTATAAAACTTTTGTTTAAGATATTTCTTTCTGATTTTTTTGAAAATTTGAAGATATCTGTTCCGATCTTTGCTTAGAAATATTTATTTTCTTTTAATTTTTTTTTAATTCCTCCATAACTTTTAACTGGACAATTATAAATTATGTGTGTCTCTTATTTTAATTTAGACTACAGCATATTTAAAGAGCATCAAAATTGGGAGGAGGTTTTGAATTGTGAGAATATCGCTTTCATCGAGTCAAAATAATTGTAAACACAATAGGAAAGATTTTAACGCGCCCATTAAGATGAGAGATTCGTTACGTATGTATACATACGAAGATGTTTCGTTATTTTTAACGACCTGCGAACATGCATCTTTGAATGCTTTGACAATTGAGGAGGAATAAAATCAGTAGAACTCGATCGAATAACGCGAGCATGCAAATATATAAAGTATCTTAATACTAAAATCATTTAACGTATAACAGATTAGTTCGCTTTCTTAAAAAGGAAATCGAAAATATCTTTCTATTGTTTTACGATAAGAGATAACGTATATAATTTTAGTTACAAATTTTGTTTCTTTTTTTTTTTCTTTAAGACAAACGTTTTGAAAAATCAAACGATCAGAATATCGTGTGTCATTTACAAGTAACTTTTCCCGTTTATCTTACCTACTCAGAATTGGAAGCCTGAACCTAAAAATAGGATTTACATTTCAACTTGGAATCCTGCTTCTAGAAGTTTATCTCATCGAAGAGCACCTACTTTTGCGAACGTATCGTCGGTGGAATAAAAAGCGCGACGTTAGCGCTCGATAAGCTCGCCTCGTCAGTATATGCGATAATAACCATTATTGTTCAAACAACCTCGGTAAATGTAAAACAAATATTTACATTAGTTGCCAAGAGCGACTGGGTATCATCGATAAGATCATAACTTCCTTGTACTAGTTACCGGTTTAAGTTATTCGTTGTGTAAGCTGCTTAATGTAATCTCAAGCGCTCGTGCTCTTTAACGCATTTCAAAACCAAGGAGATAAAAATATCACCTTCGAAATAGACTCGATTAAGAAGATGTTACATTATATAATATCCCTTAAAGAAACCATTTTTCTTAGAAACATTTTTTATTATAAAACAGTTATAAACCTAATTTAATTTCGACTTTAGATGTCTCATGAAAATAATTTTAAAGTTTCAGAGAAGGCTATTTTTTCCTAATTTTTCCACGGGTTTCTGTTCCAAGGGTATAAAAATTCGTTTAAGGAAATTCACGCGTATTCGCAATCAAAACCTGCCACATTAATTTTTTCGGTAAATAAGACAAGAAACTAAAAATATACACAGGAAAATGGGAAGGAAACGGTTTTTTCCGAAACTTTAGAATTATATTCATGATTTTGAACGAACAAATCATAGAAATTATAAAAGAAATTTATAAAACTGAAAACATAATCAGTTACAGAGCGCATCGTGTAATGAGTTGACAAATGACAAAGTTTACATTGAATAATTCAACTTACCATACGGTAGAGACTGTAAGTATCGATGATGGCTATCAATCCACAACAACAAGCAACGATCGCCGTTGTCGTAAGCCGAACATGTTCGATGGAAAGGCTGAATCTGGAATATTTCTTCCTGTAGTTATTTTCAAGATATACATGTACACACGTATATATATATATATATATATATATATATATANAATATGATCGAGCGGCATGCGCGATAACATTAACGATACGTAACGGACGTACACGTATCAACTGTGTGCCGCAACGTCAATGTAATCGAGCGACGCGCATATATATATATATATATATATATATGTGTGTGTGTGTGTGTGTGTATACATGTATATAACGTTCTAAGTAATAAATATTCCATAGCTTTAGGTCTACAATAGATTATATAACACTTTGACGAATGTAATCGTTTAATTCTCAATTTAAAATATATTGATTATTGACAAGGTTATTGTATAAGATGTAAATGAGGGGCCATAATATCACTTTTTTTTCCCTTGATATTTTTCTTTTGAACAAAACCACTGAGCCGGCAAAATTACACATTAATCGTAAGAGAAGAGACGCGCATGTAAAGGCGTACATAATTAATATTACATTCAATTTCACATTTAATATCGTAATTGATTGACAATTTACCTGTGCAAATGGTAGAGTTTCCATACTCGCGTGATGCAGATTATCGTAAATCCGCCGCCCGATATGGCGGTACCGAAACCATCCCTGATCTCGGTTTCTCGATGTAATATCCAACAGGATAGCACGGCTATTATTGTCAAGACCGACGACAGTACGATCGACGTCAGTAGGGACTCGCATAGCTCCAATAAAAGTGTCAACAGCAGCAGCATACAAAGTAACGTTCTGCACGTGTGAAACGGCAAGAGAGACTTGGAAGACCTAAACGAGGAAAGCGCTCTGTTATTCTGGATCAAAGGTCTTTTTCTTCATATTAATTGTCGAGAAATGAGTGCCGGTGTTGTTTCGCGAATAGTCTCGATCTCTGACCAACGTTGCCTATTCATGAAATAAAACTGATCTTCATTTAACTATGATAGCATTACGTGTATAGGTGATTCACAGCTGCAATGAGGTACCATAATTTATCATTATTATTATTACGCTATTGGGTTCCTTAATCAAGCTAATAACCGCAATGAATCAGCATTCACGAGCCTGCACAGGCTCGCATTACAGCACACGTGACGCAGATTATGATATTACGAAGGGTTGTCGGGCATTTCGTGTGCTCAGCGCGCTATGAAATTCGCGCGTCTCGCAATTAATTCTGCATCCACGAGGAGATGTCATTCAGAAATGCCGTCGTGTAAAAGTGTTCAAATTGATGGGACATAATTACGATCGTGTGATTTTAATCTCTGTAAGAAAGAATTTCTCTCCTCTCTCTCCCGCTTTCTCTCTTACTTTTCTTAATGTCACCACACAAATAATCGAATGTATAATTTAAATAGAGACCGTTACTTTGCATCTTCTTCCGGGTTTTAGTTTCCTATCCCACCTTGCTGTATTTGTAAGATAATTTTAACGGAAGGTGTTTTGCGTTGCTAATCCAATGATTAATGACTCGCCGATCGGAGAGTTGTCAACGCGTATCAATCGGCAGCAGTCGTGGCCGAAGTCACGGAAGCTAAAGGAATGTCGGAATATCTCATTATATGAGACACTTCTTAATCCCGTCAGGTATACGTGCATATTACGTATTCGGGTAGAGGCGCACGATGAGTGGGATTGGGTTTGTACGCGTCTTAACGAACCTGAATGGCCTCTGAGTCATTCTGTACGCGATTCTCTTCGGGGTCTACCGTGTGCGTGACGTTGCCACGGCAATTTGTCTCGCACTTGCAGGTACTCGGCCTGTGTCGTGCACGGTAAATACGGGTTTGAAAAATATCAAAGGGTGAGACATCACAGCTCGGTCTTTTCTAGAAATTACACGCGCGACTCAAAGAAGATGATCGTTTCCACGAATCGATTAGCGATAACTTAAGGAGATCTGAGCGTTGAACCAAGTATAAGATAAACCTATAATATGTACATGATACAAAAGTCAATCGAATTAACAATGTGTAATAGAAATTTTAATAATTTTTACCGTATCTCGTCTTCGAGATATTTAATTATAAACTTGTATATGTGCGAGTATATAGAAATCTCATGAAACACCAAATTTCTTCTAATTTTTTCATATTTGTTATAAGATGAAATTTGGATTTTTCATATTTGTTATAAAATGGAAGTTTAAAAAACTATTGTAATATTAAAAGCTAATATATATATATTATAAACTAATTTTAGAATTACTGACCGTTTCGTTTCGAAGATACAGTAACAGAAAGATTATAATTTACAGTAATATTCAAGATACATAGTATCTTGTAAGCATATAGCATAGTACAAGTAAGCATATATACTTGAATACTTATATATTTTTTTCTATTATATCTATTAGATCAACTGACACATAAATATAACATTAATAAGAAAGATAAAAAGTAATATTTTCATATTTATTTTTATATTTATAACATTACGTATATATTTATCTCAGATATGTTTTAAATTAACATTTATTATTTAATTATTATTTAATTATTATTATTTAATAGTGAAATAAACATATAGAAAAAAAATTTTGTTTGATAAATAGTAAATTTATAAGAAGCCCCCTTGATACACTACTGGATACGATAGCGGAAATACGGCACTTAGCGCTAGAATCTCCTTAATGAATGACAATATCGAATTCTAAAAAACTAATACACGAAGAATTAGCATGGAGAATACATTCGATAGAGTCGAAACATTGAGATTCCTCGCGCGGCGATCGATGATGCAAATTGGCGAGCGTGTACGCGAGGGCACGTTTACCCCGCAGAAAAGAGAGAGAGAGAGAGCCGCGGGAGTTGAGTAACCACCTGTTATAAATTATCCCGGTAATTAATACGTCTCCGTAAGCACATGAGTTCCGGCATCCCGTTTCATTAATTATCCACGCGGAATAAAAGTTCTCGCGATGTCGATGAGGTAGGATCACGATTAACGGGATTAGTTCATTTGCATGCAGCAACATTTTGACACGCCCTAGGAACAGGAGCGCGTTGTTATTTATAATATGGCTATTACGCGCATAGTAATTGCCGGTTGAAACACTGCGACGAAATTTTTCATAACTGCATACGCGCGCGCTTGTAATAAAATGTAAGGTGAATAATTAATGGTTGGTATATAAATTCCATCAAGATATTGAAATTTTTAATGGAAAAGAGTTGTTTATACGCATATATATCTATCATATTTTTTATTTTATATATTCCGTTTTATAATTCACTATTTAATATTCTTTCAAAAATATGAAAATTTATAGAACGAATAACGGTTAATTATTTTTTCATAAGATTATTGGCTGTCTCAACAATTTTTGTTCTGCTTTTAAATTACCTTTTAATATTAAATTTAAATTACATTTTAATATTAAATTTATTGCTCAATTCATCGTTACATCTATTCGAGGGTTGAAATCTTATTACCGGCAATATGGTAAAATTTGACGTAAGTTCATTTATTCGACTCGAGAAACGTCGAATTTCTCGGAACGCTTTAACTACAAAAAATTTGCAACGGCGAGAGGTACCGTGAAAATAATAAATATTGATACACGCTTCGCGTAAACGCGAAGATCAACATTAAGAGCGCGTTCGTGCCGCGTAATTAGCGAAATGTAATTCACGTCGTACTTCGACAAGCAGAAAATTGAATCATTGCGAAAATACCGTGGTATTTACCAACTCGCAGTTCTCCCAGCTTCCGCGAAACGTGCAACTGTGTTACGACGTTACAGCTTTAGCATGCGAAAATAATCAATGCCTCTTTTCGAGAAACGTCTCGCTCATCATCATGTTTAACTCTCCTCGAAGCGATGAGAAGCTTTGAAGATACGCGATGATAAATATACGAGAAATTGCGAGTAATCGTGAAATTTTATTACTAACAGTGCAAAAATCATAACAATTTTCTCATTACCCGATTAATTTTAGTTGCTCGCGAGATGAGAGCACCGTGGTCTTATTTGGAAAAGATTGCGAGAAAAAAATATTGCTGAGAAAAAATAGATTTAAAAAATAAAAATATAAATTCGGTGGATATTAATAACATATTGACTTATAAATTATTTTATTTAAACGGAATTAATAATTGTTTTCATAAAAAGCTGCAGATTCAAGAAAATATATATTTTCTTGTTTCAAGAAATGTTTTCAGTGTAAAAATATTCTATTTTGGTACAAGTAAATATGTTATTAGCACTTACCGAATAGATATTTCTTACTTCACACATATTTTCTCTCTCAGTGTGTCACAGCCACACACATAATGACCTGATAAAGACGATGAGCGTCTCTCGTTCCAGGTATTGATTCAAGAATGATCGCGCGCAATTAAACATCTGTTTACGCGTCGACTATCGTCGGTACCAAACGGAGCAAATTCTTCGGAATAAACGCAATCGTCGACTGAATCATTGAGAGGAAGGGGAGGGGACTGGGACGAATTCCTAAAACGAATATAGCGTTTCGTTTAATTGAAACTTACTTCAATTAAGCCGGGCTAATCCTTATGCTAGTCTCGCTGGTTCCGCTTAAACGACCGACCGCGCGCCAGATGTTCCCGCGACAATACGCCGGCACGAGGAAAACCTCGTATTCTTCGTATTCACACCGATATCTCGTCGTTTCTGGTTTCAGACCGTTATATAATTACGCTGCTGTGACGCGATTGTGCGACGATTTCGTTCGTCTGCGCGGAAAGCGCGGAATACGCAATCAATCCCTGACGGTGACGTTTAAAATTGGCGGAACGTGAAACCTATCCTTGCACCCGATCGAGGATTAAAACCTAAGATGACTAAAATTACGAGCGATCGATAGCAACGGCTGTCGAAACGCAACGCGCTTTTCCGCGCGTCAACTTACTTTTCGCGGCTGCCGGCGCATTTGTACTTGAGAATCAAAATCGCGGCGACGAGCACCGTGAAAGCAGCGACGGACACGTTCATCAGCTCGACGACACACTCCGCCGTGGTGAGCGAATTTTTCTCCGGGATTTCGAACACCGTGCCGTTCCTTCTCCGCCAAGTCCAAGCGATCCGTTGCTCGGGTCTCGACAGCATGTATAAAAATCGGTACTGTGTGCAGAACACCATCTTGATCGCATACGTGCAACGCCTCCGATAATTTTAACACGAAGTGTCATTTATAATTCGCCGATCGCTGCTCTGTGCACCTGGAAAAGCGAAGACTCACGCGATGTTACGTAGGTTATGATCGTGCCGTTTTGGAAGAGAGAGAACAATTAACCTTACAATAATGATATATAATTAAAGAGAAAATAGAAGGGCCGGTAAGAGCGGTACGCAGTAAAAAATATCTTGCACTTGTGTTAACATCGATCCTTCTTAAAATTTTTGTGTTAAATTTCCAACACACCCGTGTTAATTTAACATATTGTGTTTATGTTATCCTCAACGATTTGTGTTGTGTCGATACTCAACATGAATAATATTAAAATAACATATTTTATACTTCAATGTCGACTAACGTAATTTCGTGTTAATTTTTGACATGATATTTATGTTATTTTTCAACATATTCACCTTGTGTTAAATGAACACAAATTTGAGTGAACCGTTTGGAACATGTGAAATTTGCTAAATTTAGTACAAAATTTCTTACTGTGTAAATATTAATGAAGCGGTTAATGAAGCATCTAAAACATGAAATATACATGAAATGCAAAATGTTACTTTGTAAGAGGACACACGTCTCAGTTCTTATCAATGATATACCACGTGCGGAGAATATATTATGCATATAAACGGATAATGTGTTACGCAGCTGTCATTATCAGAGCAACACGGTTATGCATTTCGCTGCCACAAACTAGCTTAATCCTCCAATGACTGGGGAAATTTAAATTAAATTCAGTTTACGACTTAAAACTTGTAAATTAAAACAAACCACGAAACTGCATTCTCACGTGAAAATTTGTTGATATCTCGGTGAAATTTTTTTACATTATAGTTAGGAAATCATATAGTACGAAAAAATCAGTCAGCTGTACCGAGTCGATATTTCAACCGAACGGTGAAAATTTTAACACGAATAATTAGAGATTCACATGAAGCTACAATAATTTGTCAAATAATGACGGACTAAATTTCGATTGGGTATTCTTTTATTTTTTTGTAAATTTGTCAAACGTTAATTAAAATCAAAAACCTTCTATATAACTAATAATTGTACGTATCTGGAAATACATAACGTATCGTTGGTCGCATCCCGGCAACCTTCGTCTCTGTTTTGAATTCTCTGTTCAACATCCCGATTCCTGATTGTTCCGTCGTTCAGCCACTCGTTGTACTCACTGACATTCCCGTAGATATGATTCCATAATAGATACATACGTTCAACAACACAATGCCGACGAAAGTCCGATTAAATATTTCGCTAGTTGACGAAATCTTTTTATTATTCCACGGAAATGATAACTACCGATACGCGTATTCTCGAGCAGTGTACAAGTGGTGTACAAGTCGCCGACTCGAGCTGTAATGAAAACATTCGGAAAAGTGTGCGGCGCACGAATGTGAGTTTGACCGCCTTGAAGATTCGGAATGTTTTCATCGTTATGTTTGAGTTGTTGTGATCTCTCCGTTGGCGATTGGCGGCAGATGACTTTTTGCTCTCCTTGCCGATTTGTTCTGGTACTTTCTGGCGTCGTGTGCTTTCTTTTGACCGAGTGTAGTGTCGTGAAGTGAATATCTAGATACACTTCACGAAATATACGAGTATAGTCTTATAATATATGTATCTATATCTAATTATTTATCCGAAAAATGAATATTTATATCTGTATGTATTTACATTTCCCTTTTAGTATCTATATCCACTTTTAAAAAATGTATCTGTTACGATACTGCCGTCAGGTGATTAAAATATTTCGTCGGTTCTTGCGATATCGAATCGAGTTCTCGGCTGGGCTCGCATTAACACGAGTTAGATTCTTCGATCGAATCGTATCTACGCGATTGTCAGTGATAGTATAAATATTATGACGGAGTTTCGGAGCAGCCAGAAGTGAGATGCTGGATTGGGACGCCAGGACGGAGGATGCAGGACGCTGGGATGCGGGCAATGATACATAATATATTTCCAGGCACATAAAATTATTATTATTGTTTTATGGATATTTAATGGATCGAGAATAAGGAGATATTCCAAGTTGGAATTTAGGTAGGCGCTTAGCTTGTTATTCAACAAATGATAAATCATTGATTGCTCATTAACCTCTATATCTATATTCTTATTTCATATTAATAGAATATTGAGATAATCTTGTATCAAATCATTCTGAAATCCTTCTTAACCAACATTTCGACTTGGAAATGTTTCATATATAGAAAAAGAAATATTTTTATAATGTTTCGCCGAGGCAATTCATGACGGTTTTATTTTCTCGATTGTACATCCAAAAGGCTTTTCGAAATTTTGCAAAATTAAAAAGTGCAAGGTAAATTATTAAAAGTCTCCTAACAAATCGTAATTTGATAAAGATTTTATACGGTCATGGAGTGAATCGTGTGGAGTGAAAGCGGATATTGGTTTTGTACAACGAAACCGATAAGAATAGAAATTACGTGTGTACTTCCGGAAAAGATGGTACATGCCGAAGCGTTAACATAGACCGAAATATATTGTTAGTATCCCACACAACTGTATATCGGAAAAACAGTTTATTTTCATATCGCTTTTATATATTGACGTCATAGTGGAGCCATTTACGAATTAGCTCTGCCTCTCGTCCTGTAAACTCCGGATACAGGCACGTGGGCCATTTTCGTTTAGCGCTTTGCGTCTTCTAAAAATACACCGGGCCGTCGAAGAAGCGTTTTCGATAAGGGAATGCGCGTGTTCTAACAATTGCGCGAAACCTCCGTAATTTACCTACTGTATGTTACGTAATCCGAGAAGGTCGGGGAAATAAAATCGATGAAACGATAAAATCAAATAAAGTCTTACGCGAGTTCGCGGTGCACGTGCGGTACGGGATATCTTGCTCGTAGCTTCTCGTGAGAATCGCTAAAAGGAATCACGGTCAAGGAATCGTTGTATATGTAATTCAAAGGAAAAAAAATCGATTATCGGAAGAAATGTTATTATGTGGAAAAAAAAAAAATATATATATATATATATATATATAGATAAGCTATTATTGAATAACTGACAATCACTCGTGACCGATACTCTATAATATTACCGCGTCTCATTAATTCTCTAAATTTCTTGGAGTGGAATCTCACTGAAAACAAATGAATAGTGGCAGTATTTTCACTCGAAGCGATAGTGAAAATATTTCCACACACGATCGCGAGAATGAATGTTTCATTCAAGCTTAAAGTGGATTCTGATTCCGTACGAACGGATATTTCAATCGATTGGAGTGAATATGTTATTAACCGTTTGAGTGTCAAGGAGCGATTTTGCGCTTCTTCTGTTTCGCTCGAAAAGTACCAGCTTTCTAGGCTGCGAAGCCGATAACCGGCACACGCTCGGCTTCTGTCGATGCGCGACTTTACGGCTACCATTCCGTTTTAGGTAAAAATGAAATAATGAGACAACTGATAAAAGAACGAATTTTAATTGCAATCTAACATTTGGATGCAATCATCGGAGAATAAGACAAGCGCTATCGCGCCGTTTGGCATTTCTGGATGGGGAATAAGACAAGCGAAAAAGCGTTCCTTGGCACGTTTGGACGGGGAAACAGCAGAGACGCGTGGCACTCAAACGGTTAACGGTGAAATATATCAAATTTATTCTCCAATTTAGAGTTAAAATATTCATTCGACGATTCAGAGCGAAAAATTCTCTTTATATGGAAAAAATTTAGTACCAATTAAAAATATTCTCATAATATAAATATTCTCATATTCTCATGATAAGCAAGAATATATCTTAACAAGTTCGCTACCAGAGTCTGAGAAGAAAGTTTTGCACCACAGCCCAGAGTGTTTTTTGTTAGAATATGTCCCCAATTGACACGGGTCTTTTTAGGATATATTTGTAACATAAAAATATAATTATCTCTAGACCAAGGACATCCTACATCTATTTTATTGTTTTTTAGCTCAACAATACTGTTCATTTCCAAATTTATTGCAATACGTTATCATAAAACTGATAAAGAACACGCATCGCACATCTGTGGCGGTAGGCTCAGATACAAGAATCGGAACGCCGCATATATGATAGCGAACGTGTTAATAAGAAGAACGTAATCTTATGTGAAGATAAAACTTACAAAAGAGATTCTATATAGTTCCACTAAAAATATCATATTCTTCTTCTTGTTATTCAAGAATAATTTTCATGAATTAAGAGGAAAAAAATATAGAAAGGATGGTATCTTCAAATACGCTGTATGCAAATACAATTCTCCGTTTGAAGGTATCGTTCTTTCTATTCAATATTTTTTATAACTATATGAAATTTCTTCTAAGCAAGTTTTATCTTCACATAAGATTACATATTTTTGCTTATATGTAAGAATATAAACCTTGAATTGATAAAAATTTTCTCCTTTGTACATGAATGAAAAGTCACTCGATTCCAATTGATTCAGTGCTCATTCTACCTTTTGAGTGAGATTTCATTCCAGAAAATTTAGAGAGAATAAGTTACGTATAAAATATGATTGGATGCATTGAGAAAATCAGTTATACAGCTGATTGACGATCAATGACACGAGATAAAAAACGTACGTTCAAAATTGCATTAATTTGCTTTTGATAATTTAATTCCTCAGTTAAGTTTTCGTACAATCAATGGAAAGCAATGCGATTGTCAATGTGTTCACTGGGACACCGTATCAGCTACTGTATTTCTGCCGACCGGTGACCTCGCAAACTCGACATGCGGAGTTAATCGTTTAAATTATCGTTCCGAACGTGACACGATTTGAAACCGCGCGCGATGTTTGCAATTTTCACCGTGGACGAATTCCGGACGGATCTTCTCGAAGGCACTTTTTTCCTTCCACATGACTCTATCTGTACGAGTTAACAACTATGAGATAAGCGACGCTTCTCACGAACACAACGCGAAATTGTGTTACTGGGATACAGGGAAAATCGTGTTCTATTTTTACTTCAAATTCAGGAGCAAAACAACGTCCCGCTTGTATGTCTACGACGATGGGAAGTTTTCGAAGACGAAAATTCGCGGAAGCTACGAGCTTTCTTGGTAACGATAAGTAATCATTAAAACCAGGAAGAACTGTGTATTTTTTTTCCAAGCGCGTCACTTTTTATTTTCAAATTTCAGTCGAGCGCTAGTGTCAAGTACATAAATCACATTAATATCGCGTCTCTTGCGCGCTTTGCGTGTCACTATGAACACGATTTATCGCGAATAATTGTCTGCGTAACGTCGAGGCGCGTTTGCGAGCCAATGCGTCGCGTGTGTTGCGAGCCCGTTCGTTTGAATATTTAACAATGGCACTTAATCATATTCCGACGTGGAGAGTAACGAGATCGCGTCGGGTACTCACCAGCGGGCCGGATTAACTTTTCACACACTCACGACTCCATCGTGCCGATGAAGACGACAAGGCCGATAACTGTATTCGCGATCCCTTTAATCGGCACCCACACGAGCCTCAATTACGATTCTCAATTAGCAGCTCGTGAGATTCTCAATTAGCAGCTCGTCGGCGAGCCGTGACATTTGACACTAGACCGGCTCTGTCAGCGCCGCTCGTGCGTCTCGACACCGCCACGTGCGCGTCACTGACAGGTGGCACAGCAGCCACGTCCGCTCTCGTCGATGGTTCCCGCGCTACTGAGATGACGGTCGAATAGAGTGCGAATAGTAATTCTGCGAGGTGAGTCATGGGCGCGAAAAGAGAAAAAAATCGACGCGGAATCGTCGTCGACGCGGCACGCGACTCGATATCAAAGCAACCATGTGATAACCGAACGCGATATTTACATCTTTTCTCCTACACGGTCGTGTAAAAAAATGCCCATTCTTCCATTATTGTTATATATTCGTTTGCTTTTCTGGACTTCAATATCCGGTCGGAGTTTTACCGTCCTGAGTTTTCGTACCAACATCGAACGTCAGCTGTCAGCTGTTGGTTTCGAAGGAGCGAAAGGTGTCACGAAGAGATTTGCCGTATAGAGAAAGATTTAGAGAATGTCAATGTAGAGAAAGATTTACAAGAACTGAGCGTTTGTTAAAGGTACGCGAATGAAATAATAAACGTATCGCACAGAGGAAAATATTATTCTACCGCTAAGATAAATGACTGATTACTTAGTTTATTTTCCTTCTTTTAAGTAATACACAGAAAGAATGTGCTAGATTCAAATAAATAACTACTTCAGTGCTCTTTATCGAATTTTCACTTGGATCAAGTAATATTTATTCGATCCAAATAAAATATTTTCTAAGTAAATTATCCAAGTAAAATATATTTATTTAGTCAAAGTAAAATTTGCAAAGGAATATTGAAGTAATTTATTTATTTGAACCTATCACTTCTTCTCTGTGCAATTATCTTCAACAGAAAATATTCTCTTGATAATAGTCTTAAAATATATTCATTACAAATTTTAGAAAAGCTCTTTATCACGTACTCAAAGAATTTATTTTCTTTTCACGAATATTATAAATCTTCAAACGAAGAAATCGAAGAAAAGTTAAATTCGGTTAATCTACATAAGCAAATCGAAGTTTAATTTAATATTTTCCGCTTCCGGTTTTAATTTAATACTCTTGATTGAAATATTAAACTTGCCAGGATTCAGAATATATTTTGAATAAATCTGATGCTTATGAAGAACTTATAATATATTTGCGGATATAAGAACTTATGGAATATTTGAAGCAATTAACATTCAAATGTTGTAGTATGTATTTTTTTCTATATACAAGTAGATATTATATTATACAGAGTGAGAGTGAGAGAGAGAGAGAGAGAGAGAGAGAGAGAGAGAGAGAGAGAGATTTCGGTATATATTTGGACTATATTTGGCTTTTATAGGCTTTTCTCCATCCTGTCATTGATTTTTAATTTAAGTCTTATTTTTATTATATTATAAATTCCCGTATCTTTGTCTCTCGATATATACTTAACTCGACAACGATAATATCAATGCATAACACTCATGAATTTTAAAAACACACCTATTTTACCTGATTTTATAAATTTTTCAAAGATTATTTATTTCACTTCTTTTTTCGTTTTTGTTTATCTTACATGTTTTTATATTTTCATTATATTGAAATTTCACCCTTTCCTTTCAAGATATACGATTTCGGTTACAAAACTACGATATAACTATTACTGTATCTGTTATGTATGTGTTTTCATTTGCAAGATAAATAGCTGTAATTGAATGTGTCGACTGGACACTTGCAAAATTGCGGCGCGTTCTCTTTCCGTACGCCTCCCACGCCGGAAATCGTGCATTCGCGAGTATTAATGTACCAGTCTCGAAGTCCGGTTTCCCGGGGTGAGCCGAACGCGACAGCTTTGCAGCTTTGCCAACGCGGATGTGCAAGGAAGCAATCATCTGGCGTTGCCCGTTCGGTTTCCCCGCGACGAAACTAGCCAGAAAATACCGATAGCTGCACCCCTATTAATGGACGTCGTTTCCACAAATCGCGTTAGTCACGGCTTAATTTTACCGTCGAGGCTTCTGTTTACTTTCCCGCCAGCTGTTCCTTCGGTAAGGGGCGCGAAGTTTCCTCAAGGATTCTCGTATCTGACGTCAACGTCAAACGACACGAACTCAATAGGCAAAATGTTACTAGTATGCTAGCAGATTGGCGGCAAATTCGATCAGAATCCCACAACAAAACCACACTTAGAGAGCACAAAACCTAAAACTGGGATATAAGAGGTCTTTAAGATATCTTAAAGTCGTCTGTAAATACATCTTTAAGATATCTGTAAGACGTCTTATATCCCGGTTATGGGTTTTGTGTTGTCTGGGTATCCATATGTATCTGTATTAAACTTGTATTCTGCCAGCAGAGTCTGTTGAAGTGATTTGACGGCAGATTGGTGACAGGAAGCGAGCAGATCTTGCTGTCAAACTGCGTGCAACAGAGTCTGCACGATTTCTGTCGCCAATCTGTTGTCAGATAGTTACAGAGTTTGTTTGATTTCTGTGATCAATTTGCTAGTTTAGTAAGTCAGCAAACTGTCAGATTTTTGGCGACAATCTGTCAACATCGCCAAATAAAACAGATTATGTAAAAAATATTCTGTAAGAAATGTCACCTTTCTCCCATAAAAAAATCTGTATCAGACTCTGCTTAGAATCTACTTACGAAGTTTGGCTATATGGGAAGTTTCCAAGGCATCATCGCGAAAGTACCTACGATTCCGCGGCGTTTTGCATTTCACATGTGAATGCGGATATGTTGTATCGAATGAAAAAGGCGTGGGCCGTTTCTCAGATAAATCGCTCAATTATGCAAATCGGAAACCTTGAACTTCGTGCAGCAGCGCGTCCAATCGCGCGATATCCAACACACGCGTTTCATCGATAAAAGTGTAAACTCTCAGAAACGGAACAGTCAAAAGCCGATATGTGATTGACTGTGAACACAGAACAGAGACGGGATTAAAGAAGCTCAGAGCGTTAAACTCGACGATTAGATTCGCTGCAACGGCGACGCGTGTTCGTGAGGATCTTGTGATGACCATGAAAATATCGATATTAATATTGAAACGAGTATCTAATTAAGAATATCAATATCACTAGTGATATCAGTATTAGAAACAAAAATACCGATATTGGTATCGATATTTAAAATAATAAAATTAAAAAATAAAATTAAAAGAAATTAGATGTTTGTCTTGCAAGCTACTATTTTAAGGATTTCGTTAGTCTATGCATAATAATTTTATTATGATACTTCTACAAAGATGCTTCTACACTAGACTTTCTACGGTTTGTGTTCTAAAAGGGATGTGTTAAGGTTCTTGTGTCCTCAATATGATTCTTTTTGTTTTGATGACGTCAGAAGCAAGAAATCTCATGCCGAAAATTATTGGCGGTACACATGGAAATAAAATAATATATACGCACAAAATGATACTAGTGATCGACTCCGCACACTTGTAAAAATGTCATTGTTTCCTTTCATTTTAACAATCAATAAACCGTCAAATTAACGTAACAGAAATCATGAGAAAAGATAGGTTTAAAACATAAATTGCACTAATTTTTATGAAACAAAAATATATGATATCTTGAAGATTGAATAAGTAAAGAATTAAAGAAAAAAGATATCGGAAAGATATCGAAACAAAGTAGCGCTGATATGGATACGAACACCGAAAGAAATATCGATACAAAAATTGATACGCGGTATTGAGAGAAAAATATCGATATCAGTAGTATCGCAACATCTCTACGTGTTCGGCCGCGCGTTCGTTACTAATCACCACTATTTTCAGCATCGATGATTACGTTTTATTTGCTTATAATCTGTCGGGTAATTAATTACCGGGAATAATTGTCCGTCCCGCTGCGGCTCATTATAAATCGGATTACCTTCGCAAGTGCCGTCCGACGGAATTATCGCGGACGTTTCTCTAAGCGCGCTCACCAAAAAGTATATTACACCAGGACTAACCAGTTTATCGGCCGTGTTTGCAACCAACGCCGCGGCATTCCGCGCGATTTCCGAGAGAGAGAGAGACGGTGTCGTCCGCGCGCGTTAACTAGTTCGTTATTTATGTCCCTCCCGTTGCTCGTCATAAATTTCTTGAGCCCTCCCCCTCGAAAAAATAGGCATTAAATCGCGCGGAATCGAAGCGAAACCGACCGCTGCCGCTGCCGTTTATTTAATCCCGCCATTTCGCTCCCCGCGCGGCTAACGTGTGATAAATCATCCGGTGCGCCGTTAAGCGATGGCTTTTAATTAAGCTTCGAACATAATATTAAACCTCGTTCATCTCGCGTGGGGCGCCCACGCGTGCGCGAGTGAGCGAGCGGGAAAGGGAAGAGGAAGGAGAGAACGGCGGTCGGGTTTATTTGAAAAATATTTAATAATAAACATTGACAATATACAGAGAAAATACGCCATAAGAAGTCGCTATGGGATTAATAAGAACCTAACAACTGGTCCAGACTTACAAAATATCATCAAATCAGACAATGATAAAGGTGTTACACAAGTCACACCTTATATTCCTATCAATATATTTCGCAAATAAAGTTCGAGTTGATCATTTATATTCATGTTCTCTTATTACCTCTATTTACTTCTTTTCACTCTTCTTCTTTTTTTTTTTTGCCATTTCACGTGGATTTCTTGCGAACTCGCGGTGTCAAACTCTCGGTGGCATAAATCGCTCGTTACGCGCACACAGGAGATCCGTAAAGGGAGGCGCGCGTCGCGTGTGCAACGGCGTTTCCCTTCGCGGATTCCGGTTTCTCGTTTTACACTTTTTTCTTTTGCGAGAGAAGCGGAAAAACAGGTGGCGATTAGCGTTTTTTTTTTTCGTTTTTTAACTAGCGTTTCTCCTCAGTTGTTCGCGTTTCGAACAATTGCTGGGTTTTTGTTTCATTTTTGTCATTTTTTGTCTTCGTGCTACCTTAACGATAATTAGACAGTGTGCTCTTGATTCTTTTTTTTTTTTCATCGATCCAAAGAGAGGGGTACGAGTTTGTCGCTCATTCGCCACGCACGCCAGTGACGCACACACGCACACGCACACACACAAATACGCACGCACACACACGTACGTACGCACGCACGCACGCACGCACGCGCGCAGAAATAGCACAGACACGTTAAACTTTACACACACACACACACACATGCGTCGCT